GGAGCTACATCTCTCAAGTCGATGATGATGTTATGAGGCAAGGGTGATTCATTTCTGTAGTACTCAGTATGCCAATACGTATTTGGATCATCGTCGAAGGCGTTCTTTGCATGTCCTTCCTCGCCGATTTTTTCTACACTGTCGGCTTTAACAACCCACATTTTGCGTGAAACGCAACCATTCGAATCTGGATTGCTGAGCACTTCGATTTCTGCAGCGCTAGCCCATGAACCACGGCCACCGGCCTCGGACTGTATTATGAGTCGCACGTAGCGGATGCTATTGCCGGAGAAGTAAGCGTACTTCAGGTTCTCATCGTCTTCCCAAGTTCCTGTCGCAACCGGTGATCCCCAAGTTGTACCATCAGCACTCAAATAAATGGAATACTCTCCAATATTGCCGTTGTCTTGGTCATCCTGACGAGGAAGATAGGATAGACCGTGAACATTGTAGTTGTCCTTCATATCAATTGTAATGCTGTGAGGCATGGGATCGTCGGTTGGATCCCAATTGGTATGCCAAAAGGTGTGATGATGGCCATCAAGAATACATTCCGCTTCGTTACCAGGCTGGGCACTATCGGCGACAACCGTCCACCCATGACGATTAAGCGAAATCGCGTTGGAAGTGTCGGGAGGAGGATCAGCAGTTGTTCTGATATTTGCATGGAATTCAATCAAAATGAAAAATGAGAGCGCAAGAGCTCTGCAAAGTCGAAACATCTTGTTATTGCAGAAGCAAGACTAGGAATAATGTGCAGTTTTTAGACGTTAAAATAGAATGATTATTGTATTGATTTATAAAAAAAAAAGATTGCTCTTCCAAATATATCAAAAATAAAATCATAAAATGCCTTTTATCAGATGTTAATAAAATAAAACAGAAATGTTTATGACTCCCAACAAATAAAATAAAAATACAAGTTTTACTGCTTTCGAATTTATTTCTAAAGTGCATAGATAACGAACAAGTGTTTGATGACTATAAACATTTCCAAAGTGAAATTATGAGAGATATCGAATAAAATTTATTATTATTATTTTGATTATATTGTGTTTCTATATTCTATAGTTCTTTTAAAATGTTTGTCGTTTGAGCTTTTCAAGTCGAAGGGTGTGAATATCAATGCAAAAATTAAAGAATAACCACACACATCTATCCTTCAGATGATCTATCAAGATTTAAGAGGGATCTCACGGCCTGTCAGAATTTGCAAGGTTCCTATTGAGATTAACGAGGGTGTTGACGTGGTGTCTGTCTTTCCGTCCTCACTCTTACTCAGAGCTATGCCTTGTGTATGTCTGTTAGTGTATTATTTTTTCTCGATTCTCAATCGTCCTGAAGTCTGAAGCAAATTCCTTAACCTCGAGTAGATCCCGATAGACTATCGTCATATATATATATATATTCTATATCTATAATTGTTTTTTCTTAATTAGTCTATAATTTACTTACGGCATCTAGTGCAATTTACTAGCGAATCATAATAAATACACCATTTTGTAACTAAAAACTTTGAAGTAGAAATCATCTAGACATTTAAAATGGTCATTTAGTTTCAACGTAACTTAGATGGCTTTTAGGTAGCTTCTGTCTGATACATTTTTTTCTAGCATCACAGGCACCAAATATCGTCCCTAATCACTGTAATTAATAAACTATAGATCTAGTGTTCTATAGAAATGGAGGAAAAAAAGGAGGAGTCCTGGTTTGCTTTATAAATGGAGTTCTATGCAATTTTAAACGCATTTATATTCTGACGGTGTATGGATGTCGGCGTTAACTTCAATCTCACATACTTAATTTCACTCGTACCTACCCACACCCTCAGAAAATCAAACAAGAAAATCTTTATAGAATAAATATTATAAATGTCAAATACTTACAAAAACTTTGCATACATTTCTATTTTTGAAGAACTCAAAGAATTAATTTACATTTTATGTGCATCTCTAAAAAATAGAGATTTGCCTTTCAAGAGAATATATATATAAAGAGATGAAATCAAATGATTGAGTAGTTGAATTCAAGTTTCAAGGTAGATACTACTGGTCTATTTAGATATAATGTTGAAAATCGAATCTCGATGACTATTTGCGTTCTTAATTTAGGCTTGTGATCACCTGTCTTTTATTTCGATATTGATAGCAGATGCTGTTATATTCGAGAATGAAGTAAACAAATAATTATACTGAAAACAGCTATATTAGTATTTGCAAACTGCATTTTCTAGGCTCTGAAAAAATCTATATTTTTTTTTTCAAAACAATAAGAAATAACTTTTATACTGTGTTTTTTTCTTGAGAAAGTAATTAATCAATGAATACAATCTTTATCTGTTATTTAATTATACATCCAAAAAGTGCAAAATATTCCTAATAAAAGTCTTCGGACCTGAGAATAATCGATATGTATAGTCCAAAAATCTTTGACCTACAGCTCTATCATGGGATCTTTTGATCAAAACGATTCCTAAATTTGAATGGGAGTTAGAAAATAGCATTATAACAGTTCTTTAGCGACAATAAATATATCGTAGAAATATCTGATATTAACATATGTGAACTATACTCTTTTATTTCCGTTATTCTTAATAGAATAGCGTCATCTATATTTGGCAAATTTTTATTAGAGACGTCAGAAATGTACGCAAAATACTTGCAATTGGATATTGTGAAAGCGAAATACTTTTCTCTCTATATAATTTCTATTTTTTACAGTACCCCAGTGCCATATATTTAATTTTATGAATAAATCATCTGAAGAATCAACTAAAAAAGTCGCTTCTTTTGAACCACGCGAACAAATAATGGATACACAAATGAAAGTATGTGTAATGATAATATCTTTCATTAAAAGATAATAAATTTAATCATGTATATATATATAGACTAGTTCAAGTTATATCGATAAAATGGCACCAGAAGATATGACATCAAAAGAATATTATCTTGATTCAACAGCTCATTTTGCTGTTCATGAGGTTAATATAAATAATTTTTCACATATGCTTTTTATTAATTTATAAATTTATTTAGGAATTATTAAAAGATGAAATTCGTACAAAGACATTTCGTAATGCAATTATTAATAATCGACATTTATTTAAAGATAAAGTAGTATTGAATATTGGTTGTGGTATTGGAATTTTCAGTTTATTTGCTGCTAAAGCCGGTGCAAAAATGGTCATTGCTGTAAGAAATTTTTATTTTCAATTGAAATTTATATTTATACATATCATATATTCAGGTAGAAAAATCGAATGTCATCGAATATACAAAAAAGATTGTCCGTGCAAATCGATATGATAAAGGTAAATCAACTTGTTATATATGAAAAATCTATTCAAATTCTTTTTATTAGTTATCAAACTTATCAAAGGTAAAATTGAAGAAATTGAATTACCTGAAGGTATACAACAAGTTGATATTATTATTGCTGAATGGCTGGGTTATTCATTATTTTATGATTCAATTATTCAAAGTGTGATTTATGCAAGAGATAAATATCTTGTATGTTAATTTTTAAATAGATAGGGTGTGAGTGTTTGAGATATCAAATCTACTCTATTCTTTCACTCAAAATCTAAATGCATAATCAATTCCACTAAATAATTTATTTAGAAACCCGATGGTATCATTTTTCCTGATCGCGCAACAATGTATATGGTTGGTATTGAAGATCGAGAATATAAAGAAGATAAAGTCGAATGTAAGTTTATTTGTTGTACAATCTTAATCTACGTATAATCCTATTTAAGGGTGGTCAAGTGTTTATGGTTATAATATGGGTTGTTTAAAAAATTATGTTATGCGTGAACCATTAGTTGATACAGTTGATAAACGTCAAATTTGTACAGATCATTTTCCAATTAAAGTAAAAGAATTGATTTAGTTTTTTCTTAATAATTCTATTTATTTTTTCTTCTATTAGACATTTGATCTGAAAACAATGACTATCAATGATATTGGTATTGATGCTAAATTTCGATTACGTGCTTCACGTGATGATTATTTACATGCATTTGTTACTTATTTTGTTGCAGAATTTACTGCATGCACACAAAGAACAGTCATTAATACCGGTAGGTTAATTATAAGAAATGTATTTGATTGATAAATATTTTTATTTAGCACCTGGTGCCGGTTATACACATTGGAAACAAACAGTTTTCTATTTTCCTGATTATGCAACACTAAAACAAGATGAAATAGTCGAAGGAACATTTTCTTGCAAAGTTAATCTGGAAAATACAGTATGTTAACATGTATATGTATAGATTATTTTTTATTTTTATTTTCTTTTTATAGAAAAAACTCAATTTTGATATTGATTTTCAATTCAATGGTCAAATAGCATCTTTACACAGTAAAAATCAATATTTTATGAAAGGTTAAAACCATTTATTATATCGTTAGAAAAATCGAAGAATCTGTTTTTTTTTGCCGTTTGTTTTTGTTTTTTGTTATTTTGTTTTTTTTACTTTGAAATAAGTAAAAAAGATAATACAAAGTTTATTGTTCTTCGTTCGTAACATTACATTATTAAAATCTATTAAAAAAAAAATTCATAATAATACATTAAAATCAGTCATTTTTAGTTATACTTATCTTACCAATGAATAGAAAATAGTATCATGATTTTATGAATTTGATTTTTGATCATTATAATAATTGAAATAGTATAGAATGAATCATTCCTGTTCTAATTTTTCTCTTCCATCCATAAGTACATATAGGTACTTGTACTTGTGACCTATTACTTTTAACATACAGAATATATATGAATAACAAAGATATTGTTTATCGTTGACTAAAAAAAGATGACGAGAAAAAAACGGTCTTCCTTTTACCACTCGATATTTCTTTTATGCGTTATTATATATAAACACCTCCTGATTTTGTGGAACTCACGTAAATTTTCGAAGAAAATCGTGAGTGTAAGTTTTAAGTTCAAGTTTTCCAGCTCCCCTCCCTCCTCCCCCCTCCTCAAATTTAATACAAATACCCAAAAATTGTCAAAAATAGCTATAAATTAATTAAATTTGTGCAAAAAAAGAAAACAAAGCACTTAGACGTGATCAGATATTTTGATGCGAACACGCGTGAGTTCCACATTTTTAGCCCCACCGGAACTGCGCTGATAAGCTTTTGTCACATGAAAATATAATATTTCAAATGAAATTCTTGAGGATGTGGGTGTAGATAAAGAGAGAACATTCACACCCACACCCTTCTTTGTCAATAGACTCATGAAGTCATCTACAATATTTTTTACTTATATAAATTTATTATTTCTACCGCTTAAATCTAATTAAATAATTGTCATATTATCTACCAAAGAATTATGCAATAGAAAAAATTCAGATATTTTTTTTGTCATCACGTATATTATTACTATTCATGATTTGTAAAAATTTGTTCACACTTCTTTCGTTTCAGTTATTCAATATTAAACTAACAGAGAAAAAGGAAGAACAAGAAATCATTTGTATAGGTTATATGAATATTTTGTTTATTCATTACTTAATTGTTTGTAAAAGTCGGAGAAATATGCAGTCTTAATCTTGTGAACTACAACAAGAACAAGAACAAGAGAGAGAGTCAAAAATGAATATAGTATAAAGAATAAGAGAACGAGTCAATCAATTACTAAATAAATATAATCATATAAAGCCAAAAGAAAATAAAACGACCCGATCGATGACCACACTTGATCGAGAAAAAAAAGAGATGTCAATAAAGCTCTATTTTCTTTATCTTCTTTTTTTTCTCTTACGTTTACGTCACGTTTCTTCGTCATCGATCCGTATGTGTTTGTAATCGTTGATCGTTCATGTTTCATCATTGTTATAATCGAAGAAGAAGCCACTTTGTAAAATTTCATACACTTCCAGAATAAATCATGAAATTTTCACAATCTCTCCTATATATATTCTTCTTTAAAAGTAAAACTAATTTTTTTTCTCAATTAAACATAAATTTATTTTCTTTAGTATCAATTATTTTTGCAGTTGAACAAAAATTTAAAATTGTATGTTACTTTACAAATTGGGGTAAGAGATTTTATATTTCTATCATTTTGTATCTATTGAATTCTATTTTAGCTATGAAACGTCCCGGTGGAGGTTCAATGACACCTGAAGATATTGATCCTTGTTTATGTACACATGTAATATATGCTTTTTCTGAAATGGATAATAATCAATTAACACCAATGGAAAAACATGATTTGAAAGATGGAAGTCAACCTGGTAGGTATTAATATTCAATATGAATAAATATGTTTATTCTATTTTTAAGGCTTTTTTGAACGATTTAATGCTTGGAAAAGTGTTAATAAAAATTTAAGAACTTTACTTGCTGTTGGTGGTTGGGTATGAAATTTTCTAAAGGATAGAGATTTATAGAATTGTTTTCTTTTTACATAGGATATGGGAATGAAAGATTTTGCAGGTAATATAACTACAAGATTATCTTACAAACAAAAAGTTCTCTTAGATCGATAATTTACTATTTTCTTTAGTCACATTAAACATGAGGATAGTACGCATTTATTTCTATCACTCAGTTGTCAAATCGATGTATATATGATAGTGTTTACATTTATTTGATTTTTAGGTATTGTTAAATCTGAAAAAACAATGAAAAAATTTGCTGAATCAACAGTAAAATATTTACGAAAACATAAATTTGATGGTCTTGATCTTGGTAAGATCGTAAATAAAATACTTCATGATAAATTTAATTTATTCTCATTTAGATTTTGAATATCCCGGTAAGTATTACAACGAAATTAAGTAATTGATTAAATTATTTAAATATTAGGGGTTGATTGGAGAGATAGTCCCAGAGAAGATAAACAAAAATTTACAAAAATGTGTGAAGTTCGTTTAATAAAGTCTTTTTTGATAAAATTTGCATCAATATTTTTCTTATTAGGTCTTATATGCAACATTCGAAAAAGAAGCAGAAACTAGTGGTAATGAACGTCTTCTTCTTACTGCTGCTGTATCAGCAGCAAAAGTTAATATTGATAAAGCATATGAAGTAGATAAACTTGTTCCGTAAGTTGAATTATTTTTCATTCACAGAAAAAACGGCAATGTCGAAATCTTTTTCTTTAGAGTAATGGACTGGTATGTAAAATAAAAAAGGAGTTTAATTTCGATGACGTTCTTTTGTTTATTACACAAAGGTTTAATTTAATGACTTACGATTTTCATGGAGCATGGGATCAAAATCGTGCTCATCATTCATCATTGAACAGTAAAGATAATGAAAAAGATGATACAATGTATATTGTATGTATCCGAATGTTTTCTTTTTTTACCATTAATTTATATTTAATATAGGATTTTGCTGTGAAATATTATCAAAAATTGGGTATGCCACCAAGTAAAATAATGTTAGGTATAGGAACATATGGACGAGGTGATACATCAGCTATGCCTTATACAGGATTTAAAGGTGAAAGTGGTTTTGTTGCATATTATGAAGTATAAATCTATTTTACAAAATTTTTTATTTTCAAATTAATTCAATTTTTTAGAGTTGTATTCAAATTGTTTGTGAAAAAATGAAAGAAACATGGGATGCTAAACAACTTGTTCCATATATAGCTGGACCCTATAATCAACCGAAAGCTGGTGTAGAAAATGTTCGTAGTATGAAATATAAAGTAAGAATATGATACAAGATAAATAAACCAAAAAAAAATAAATTATGAATAGGCAAATTATATAAAACAAAATAATTTGGGTGGTGCGATGATATGGACACTTGATATGGATGATTTTCGTGGTCAATTTTGTTGTCAAGGAAAGTTTCCTCTTATAAAAACAATAAAAGCTGTTCTACACGGACAAGTTAAATTATTGCCAAAAGAAAAAATTTGTTCATCTTGTCCAACAAAAGAATATAAAGGTAGATGAGAAATAAAATGAGATAAACTTTATATATATATATATGTACTATAGATTTTAAACCTCAAACTCAATCACAAACAACAGAAAAAACAACAAAAAAACCGAAAAAATCCAAACGTGATGCTGATACACCGAGTAAAAGAAAAATACTTTTATAAATGAAATTAATATTTTATCTTTTTTAGCACCAGAAGATGTATGTGAAGAATTAAAAGATGGTCAATGGCCTGATCCGTCCGATTGTAAAAGTTACTTTTTATGTCGTGGTGTTGGTAGCCAGTGGGGTGAACAAAAACGTGAAGTATGCTATACTGGTAAAGAAAAATATTAGAAAAAAACGATAATATAGACTTTTTATATATACTTCTTTTTTTTAGGTGCTTACTTTGATCCAAATGAAAAAACATGTAAATGGATTGGTTTAGATAAGGTTTGTTTTTGTCTTTAGTTATAATTTGATTTATATGTAAATTGTTATTAGCTTAATTGTGAAGAACTTGTCGAAGGTTATGAAAATCCAGTAGCTGGTGTTACACGATCTTCAAATAAAGGAGACGATGATGACGATGATACAGATGATGATGATAGTCCAAGCGATGCAGGTCCAACAAAATCAAAGAAAGAATCCAAAGGATCATCATCAAGCAAATCAATATCAATATTAAGTCGAACAACATCTGAATTTGAAACATGTACACAAGAAAAAGCAGTTGAATTTGATCCTGTACAAGGTATTAAATATATTCCTTTTTTCCTTTTCAACATGACTTTCTTCATCTACTATAGCCTTCTATAGGTATGCTTTGCTACTCTTGCGACAGTCAGAAGGAGAACAGCGATTGTCAAATGAATCCGAATCAGACAACATCAACGATGTGCGAAACGAAACAACAAATATGCTACAGCAAAAGAACCACAAACGCCGCAGGTTAAAAATAAAAGAATATTATTTTATTTAATTTTGAAACAATCGGTAACTATTTATATATATGTTCATATAGGAAAACTACTACAATTCAGTCGGGGTTGTTCAACGCCTCCACCATCGACGGGCAATCTCACACAACAACCACAATGCTTATCAAGCAAAGCAGAAGGCAAGACTATATGCGTGAAATATTGTCAAACGAGTTTATGCAACATCCAGGATATAAGGTTACTTTTTTTTATCTTCATCTTAAGTATCAATATATAACAAAAGATTTTTTTAATATTTTTAGCGATGGCGCCATAGCCGTTTCAGTCAGTCAAATTACACACGTCGTCTATTACCTTTTAGCCCTATCAATAGTTGTCATATCAACACATCATCATTGTTAATCATGATAATATGCATAACTGAACTAATTTCGCTGTTTATCATTAATTAATCATTGTTCTGTTTATTTTCTTTGTTTTTTTGCCTAAGTCAAAAAACGATATTCAACAAATTTTTATTTGGTTTTTTTCTTGCTGAGAAAAAGAAATGTTCATTTTAGAATACTGATCTTTCATTGAAAAATCAAAATACTGCGATAAAAGTAAAACTACAATATAAGAATCTACAATGAAGAGCATTTTTAGTTTGACCTAACAACAAATCTCTAAAATATATTTTACAGTCTAGTAGAATTCATTATGTTCATAAATGACTTGTATATATATCAATTGAAACCAAATGAAAGTACAAAAAAAAGTAAAATTTTCTTTATTCTTTTCAAGCTGATAAAAGAATTGATGAAAGAGAACGAGAGAAAGAAAAACGAAATCTATTCTTATACGTTCGTCTACAACAATTGATGATTACCTGTTGGTTTTGTTGCCTCATCTCACCAACAATTTGTATCATAGAAAAAAGAATTATATAGTATCACACGTTTCTCTCTTTTAAATACATTTTTCATTCTTTTCGTTGATGACAATCAAAAAAGATTTATTTTATTTAGAAGTATCTTTTTAGTAAACGAAAATGATGCAACCTATGTCATTAATTACGTATGTATAATATAAAAGAAAACTAAATATTTGTATAAAAAAATCATTTCATTAAGTGTTGTGGCTATATTAATACCAGCTTTGGTAACTATTGCTATTTGTCTACTCATATGTTATTCACATAAAAATAAAAATGGAAAATCTCAACAATCAACACGTATGAAATTATTTTTAATTATTATTCTAAAGAAAATTTAAGTTTATACTAAAGGCCAAGAATAAAATGTTTAATGAAAAAGAAAACAATGAAAGTTGATATATCAAAAAAAAAAACTTTTTATGAAATGAAATCAATCAAAAAAATATTTGTTTTATATAGTTAAATCATTATTCACTTATCCTTGATGATTTGAATGATGTTTATATAAAAACTTAAGAGATCATTTTCTTATGATCTTGAAAACGATCTATTCATTGAGAAATAAGATATAGTAAATTCTCATTTTTAATTAGTTATTCGTTGTAGATCCAGTTAATGAATCTCGTCGTATACATGAACAAATATCACAAGAATATTGTTTAGTTGATTATCCATCTGCTTATCGCTATCAACAGCAACGTCGTTTACATGAACATCCATCAATCTCCGAACAATCTCCACCATCATATAATAATACTATCGAACAAACAGGAAGACAACAATTACCATTATTTTCATCTATTCGTACAATACCGTCAACAACATATGGTTATCAGAATTCACCTGTTGTGAACCCATCTATTTATACAGCAAAACCACCTACATATGCTGAAATCTTTCTAACATCAAATTGATAGAGAATTTTCTATATAATAATATAGATATATTAATTATGAACATCTAGCCGAGATAAAGTGATAAATACATTCTTTTGCGATTATTTAATAATCTAATGTTAATAAAATTGAAAAAAATCATGAAGAAATCTTTATCTTGATTATAGTATTTTATACTTTTTCGTCTGTCGATCATAAAGCAAATAAATATATATCATGACTTATCTTTAGTAACTGACAGAAATTGAAATGTATAATGATACAATATTCATAGTATGCGATGAAATAGAAAATGTTTAATAACATCAACAATCGTTACACAAGGATAACGAAAATAGAATGTGTTCAGCATGAAATTTATGTAAAAATTTAGATTCTAATAATGTAGATCAATTAAATATTACAACTATATTTTTATAAGACTAATCTAAAACAAATATTCACGAAAACGGAAGGACGAATTCAAAAACTGACTTTGTCGATGATAGAAACAAAAGAGTAATCTATCAATTAAATGATATTTTTTGAGTTTTTAAATTCGATATATCATATAAAATACTAAATCAAAACAAACAATAAATAGATTTTTATACACGAAATACTAAACTCAGTCAAATATTATTGATTATATCAGTACTATTCGAAAAATAATATATGATTGCATATAAAGTGGATTGGTAATAGAAGATTTTCAAGGTGAACATAAGATATAAATAATAACAACATTAACTAACGACGTTTATACAAGATTATCCACTTTTTGGTATCGATACAAATGCAAGGTCGATCTCACCCGAACAATCCTAATAAACTACAATATGAGATTAAAGTAAAATAAATGTAATTAAAGTATTTATTGTTTTAAGTTGACTTGAAAAGAATAAGGATTTATTTTATTTATGTAAATTGGTTCTTAACGATCGATTAACTTTATGTAAAAGTTCGAATATTTTCTTCTTTAATTTAATCATAATAAAAACTAGTAAGTATTGATATATGAAGGAAAAAATACGATAGATGTGTCAACTTATATATTTTTCTTTCTTCGAGATTTGTCGTTCTGAGTTCTTTTTCTCTTGTCTTTTGATTCATACGAAAAAAAGTGACGGCAACTTTTTTTGAAGCTTCTAGAAGAAAAGAAGTATTCGAGTCAATATTATCATCATATGAAATTAAAGCTTATGTACGTAGACTAATACAGGTGTTTGCATATATCATATAAAACGAAAAAAAGAGAAAAAAGAGAAAGAATCGAATCACGAAAGAAAAAAGAAAGTGGGGGAAGTAAAACATGATTTTTTTTCCTACCATCTAGTCATTTATTCAATCCTATAACACTTAAAGCGGTACGTGCAACGAACGAATAAAAGTGTTAGGAATTTAGCAACTAAAACATTTGTTCTGAATTGTTGATATATATATATATCATAAATGTTGCATCAACTTCAATTAGGACAAAATGGTGATCGTTATGTATCATCACCATCATCAAAATCAACACCTTCTGATAATGATCATGACGGATCAGAAGGTTCATCATTTTATGACAGTACACATATACTTATGTAAGCTTTCATTCATATTTTTTTGTATTTCAATCGAATATAGTCAATATTTGATTTCATAATATTTTTCTTATTAGTCTCTATATCGAATAACAATAACATATTTTACTAGGAGAATTAAGTTTCGTTTATTTTAGTGTTTTAGTCGTTTTTATTCCAGTTATATTTACTATTTTACTTTGTACTATTACATATTGTGTCTATCAATATAACAGAAAACGATCTCAAAGAGAACCAACAAATTCTCCAATTGGTATTTATATAGATTTAATATTCTTTGTACAATTATTAATCGTTTTTCTTTTGTATTCGCTTTTAGCATCCGTTAATGCTCCTATTGCAACAGTTATTTATAATACTCAACATAGTCCATTTGTTTTTGAAGAATCTCCACCTTCCTATGATTCCTTAATAGATACAAAAAAAGATTCACAAAATGTAACAACAAATACACATGAACAATTTCCATTAACAGTATTACCTAATACAATATCGACAAATCCTAATGAAGAAATAACATCATCATCATCATCAGCAATTATTCCAACAGCTCCTACAACATCACCTCCATTTTATATTCAACTAAATGAAACAGATAAATAATAAACTCTTTTGTAAATCTAATTGAGCAATACATACATTCCGAGTGGATAAATTATTAATATTTAATGATGGTGATTTCATATTAGTTTCTTTTGAGATCTTTTATTTTTTATTAAAATATATATATATACGATGAAACAAGGTTTGCATGTATGATAGTTATTATAAATTTTTTTTAAATATATCTGTTAATAATATATTCTACTAAAGTTTGAATTATGATCTTGAAAATAGTGTTTTATCTAGGTTTCGTTTTTCGGAAGGGCAGACCGACTTTTAGAGTGGGTAACGCCCACTCGGTGAACAAAACACTACTTGAAATATCTATTTTCATAAGATATTCATCTTCAATTTTAAATGTATCATTCATTTACGACTCATATAAGTAATTGGTTTTAACAAGCATATAAATTATTAAATATTGGAATATTTTTTTTTTGCTCATATCATAAAAATTAAATATATAAAGACATTTTGCTATGTCTGTACTAAACATAACTAGTCGATTTGTACCTATACTAATGTTTTTTAAGTATTAAATAAATTCAAAGCCATGTACAACTCTTCTTTTACTACTACGTATATTTTTATTATGAATAAATAACATGAATACTCGTGTGACTAATTTAACGTCACTTCTTTTGTTTTGTATTATTTTTACGGTAACATGAATATTAAATGATCACAAGAAGAGAAAAAAAGAAAAAACTTCTCCTACACTTATTTTTAAAAAAAAAACTTGAGTTTCCATCAGTAGCAATAATAAAAAAGGAAAAAAGACGTCATCGTTATATATATATATATATACATTTTTTTTCTCTTCTTTTCCTTTAAAAAAAAACTCGGCGAAGCAAATAAAATTGCAACAAAAAAGAAAGAATTGATTTTGTAATTTTCTTTTTTTTTTCTTTTACTTTTCTCTTCAATCGTCAATATCGAAAACAAACAAATATACTGTTACTCGACCATATATGTATGTGCAAGAATTGACAAACTAGTAAAAATGAATGCACGAACAATTATTAGTTTATGCATATTCGTCTTTCAACAATTATTTTTTGTTAAGGTTATCTATTTAAATATGCATTTTTATATTTTATCTATAAATATATTTTAATAGATCGAAGCAAGAGATGTATGTTATTATCTTAATACAAATTCTACAACAATGACAATTAAGTAAATAAAATACTATATATAGTATGTAAAAAAAATTACCTTTTTCATTTTTTTTATAAAGTTGTAATGATGGCTGTTGTTCCGCTGTAGCTATGTCACCTGATACAGCATGTTGTTCGACGATTTCATGGGGCTCAGTGTAAGATAATATTAGTTTATTAGATTTATTTTTCTATTTTTTTTGTTTAGAGCAATTCCTTTCTTTGTATTTATGGGAGTTTGTATACTTGCTGTTTGTGTTGTATATTGTCGACCAGTATGGAAAGCGTGTTTATGTGGATGGAAATGTCCTTGTAGTAATCCAGCCCGTGGTATATTATTATTTTTTTTCATTTGAAATTTCTTTTAATATCGAATATTTCAATTTAGTTTCTACACCAATTTCTGCATCAACACATAATAATCCTATTTATATAGTAAATAATGATGATCTACCTGATTATGAAACAATAATAAAAGATGCACCTGTAAAAGACGGAATTCCACCACCTTATAATTTTGTTACAACACATCCGACTGATTTTGGTATTGAAACACGTGTTCCAAGTGCACCGCCACAATATCATTCAAGACGTAGTTCATCAGCTATTATACAATCTAATATTCCGAATGATCCTTAATGTATATGTATCTTTCGTCAACCTTAATTGGTGCTCGATTTATATCTGTTTTTATATCAAATTATTCTCTCTTTCTTTCTTTTCTGTTCATTTTCAATAACACAACAATTTGTATGATAGCAAAAAAATCAAATCGATCATATACTTGTTTATGCATCGGTACTTCTTATAATCTATTGATAATCTCATCATTGATGCTGCGAAACATATATATCGAAAAGGAAAAGTTCGATAGCTCAAGGCTATACTAGTAAAATAAAATCAAAGATAACAAAGGAGGAGAAGCAAACGAGATTAATTCTCTAGAGAAAAATACATGTTTTTCTTTGATCTTTTTAAAGGAAAAGTGAATGGTCATAAATTTGAACTGTTCCCTTTCTTCTTCTTCTTGTTGTCTTCTTCTAATCGTATTTAAGTTGATCAAAAGTTCAATGTGTGACACTTAATACACGCGCATGCATATCACACCTGACAATTAGACTTTTTTCTTTGATTGCTTCTCTACTTAGCAATTAAGTGTCATTTTTCTAATGCTTCTAGTAGTAAAATCAACATTGATTATTTCTTATTTGATGTTAACCGATGTATATTCTGATTAAATAAAAAGACATTGAGTACACATATCAATCGGTCTAGTAATACATGAATCAGCTATTTGAATATTCATTCGATAATTAAATGAAAGAAAAAAATTCAATTCAATTAGATCATTATTATTATCAACAACGAAATTCCAGGTGTCATTTAGGTACTTCAAAATACAATAATGTAAACGATTCTGTCTATTTGTCTTCAGTTCCGATGTACTTGTCAGTATTGTATGTGTGCATATGGTGTAGTTTATTTCGTTGAGACTAAACGACGCCTATGGCATGCTGTTTATTATAAGAAAAAGGAAGTGAACTTCGTCGCAATAATTTGTAGACATTTACAGTCGACGCCAATATCATGCAGATTCAAAGCAATTACATGACTTTCTTTTTAAATGACTATAATGATTGATTTTATTGATCAAATAGACTAATGTTTTTCTTACATTTAGTCGTTCATTTTGCTTAAAATATATTATTCTTTGTTTTGTTAATATATTCAGTGAATAGACACGATTTCTGTTCTATTGTTCCCCAATGGATAATATGTCTAGTCATCATACATTCGGTATCTTTTTGAAAAAAGTAGGATGACACGTGGCAGTTTGCAAACATTGACAGGTATATAAAATTAATGCGGGAAGACATCAAATGAAAGCGTACTGTCAATTGAGACATTGAATTCTGATCAATACAAATGAGACAAATTCATATGTCTGAATTGATCTCTTTCAAAATGAGAACAATGATAGAATAATATATGTTGTTTCTACTTCTTTTTGTTAATGATGTCTTCCAGAAAAAAAAGTACAATACAGGGAAAGGTGAAAGTCAATTAAATGAGAATAGAGTATTGTTTTTCTCCACACGACTATTCACACTTATTCAAGCGTGTGTAAGTACACGCGTGTAAATGTCTCGTATTGTGTCTATTGAATAAACAAAACATAACTTTTTAACATTAATAATAACAATAGGAAGAAACTATTCAATTGAAAATTGAATAAGATCACATATTGAACTACTCCGCCCATCGATATGATCGATAGCTACAATTTTTTGTTGTTTCTCACACGTTGATGAGAATCAATTTGTGAAAAGGTACGTGTACATATCCTTTTGCGATTCATGCTCGATAATTAATTTGATTTTCATATGTTAAATAAAGTTCAGATCAAGAAAAATCTTGATAAAAAACAATACCAGTCATACATGTGTATTCAATTGAATATTTGAGAAATTCGATCAAATAATAACCATAATGATGACTCTATTGTCTTGATGAATCTTTATAATCGGCAAGACATAAGTTAATGAAGCATGATTTACTTTGATATATGAGATGAGTATTATTCTTCTTTTAAAGATAACATGACAATTCAATCTATAAATATTTACAAGATCAAATATCGTAAATGTTACTTATTTTTCTATCAAAAAATTTTATTTTATTTTCATTAACATATGCTTTTCCTTTGAGACTATCAATCAATTGTTCGATCCATCCTACTTAACACTTAATTATCTTTTTTTCACTATTCTTGGATAGCATAAATGTCCGATTTCACTTACTAAATACTAAAGGGATTACTTCTCAATTCTATGCTAATATAGCTCAATCTAATGTCAATTAATTTTCTCTATGGAATAAATTCTCTTCCATGATCATGTTATGATAAGCAAAAGAAAAAGAAGGTGATGAAAATCAATTATCATGTTAATACACATTGTAACTTATTTTCAGACAAAGATAAATAACTACTTAAACATATGTATACTTTCTGTAAGCAATGAAATGTTTCAAATAAACAAAAAAATATTTTTAAATTGAATTTGACTTTATTGGCTTTATCCACTTGCTGCAAATCCTTGCTTTCCTGCTGTGATTAAGATGCATTCTATTCTGAGAAAAACAAAGGAACGACGCGACATTAGGCGGAAGAGAGGGAGCAAGTTGAGGTCAAGTAATAGGAGAACGAGACAAGGTAGTAGCCTTTTTCTGTTGCTTGACAACCTACACGAAAAAACTGACCGTAAGGAAAGGAAAGAAAAGGACACATAGAGAAACAATTTCTCTCTCTCACTCTTTCGTTCAATGTCTCAGAAGAGAAGGAAAGAGAATATAATTATAGATTGTTTCTCTTGTCATCGACAAACATAAATAGAGAGTATTGACCCTCAATCATTCATTCTATCAAAAACACGATTGCTTATCAGTCACTCGTGGATACATTTTCCTTTTCCTCATTATATTGACGTGTTGATATATCACACCATCTATAGGTGTGAGGCCGCTATACTACAACATATTATATATACAAATGACAAACACAACTCTATATCCATTTTCTGTTGTATCACATAAAACAATGATGATTGTGAATATTAATCAAAAATTTCCATCATTATTTTCACATTTGCCTGATATTGTTAATGATTGTGAACAACAAATTATGAAAACTACTACTGATAATCAAATGAAATTAACTTGTAAAGAAATTGCACATTCACTACGTCTTGTTGCTGATCAAGTTGATAAAAAATATTGTCAAGTAAGTTTTTTTTAAGAAAATTCTTTTTTTTTGTATTAATAATTTCTTTTTTTTTGTTTATTTAGGATACAGAATTCAATCGTAATCTTAATTATTTATCAATACGTTTTATATTTCAATCAATATTTTGTACATTATGGACACGAACATTGCTACCACATATTCTTGTCTTTTTCAAAGCCAAACCATTCTTATATTAAATCATATCTATTGCATTATGTTTTTAGTCATTGTTTCTTCTTTTTTTATACCTTATATAACAAAATATGTATTTGTTCGTTCTTAAAAGAACAGTGTGTTATATCTGTTTGTAATTGTTTAAAGTCAAAAATATATATATATATTCTAAGAATTCATCGGAAAATATTTTCGATGCATAAACAATCAACTGATATACTTCTTGTATTATTTTGTATATATATTCAATATAGATTGATGAAGAGAAGAAGTAGATTATATCAGTTTGTAGAGTTTGATGAGCTGACTCTCGTGTTACTTTCTTTTTTCTCCAATGGCCTTAGAATGAGAAGATCGCTCGGGTTTATTTCCGCAAGATAACATGAGAATTACTGAAATTTTAAGCATATCATTTTCAAAGAAGATTAAATTTAAAAATTGGTTGCAGCAGTTTGAGTCGCTCATTCTTAGATAATAGATTAACAAGCTATTTAATGATACCTTACTTTTTATACTTTGATGTTTTCTTTTGCGCGATAAAATTAGTTGTATGATACAATTTGAAATATGCAAGTTTTATAGGAAAACTATACTCTACATAGAATTCACTAATAAAATCCGTCGGTTTTATCTATTTGAAGATCAAATGACGAAAATATCTCATTTAAAATTGAGACGCATACTAGGAGATCTTCTGTTGGTAGTAATGTAATATTTTTACTCAATAACGTATTTATAGACGTCGTATAATTCCCCGTAGTCGTAAAAAATATTAAAAAAAAGCATTTCAGTAGTCATTTTCATAGGATTTAAATGATTTAGTGAAGACTGATTATAAGATATTCTATCAATCATTAGTGAGAAGTATCGAATAAGTCTAAAGCATAGATTTTGATTCTGTTAATATGGTATTTAATAAATAATGATGAGAAGCACAAATAAGACAAGATCAACTAAAAATACTTCGTTTCCAACGTTTATCGAAGAAATAGAAAAAGTTCAATATGATATCCGGATTGAATCTGGTAGCAAGTTGTATGATAAAGCATAACATATTAATATTATTTTATAGGAGTATCTTTATAATTTTGAAGAAGATGAATATATTATTAAGAAATTTTATTAATATCTCTTGGTAACTATTTAAATATCAATTAAGTTAAGTATCATGAAATTAACTGCAGATCATTACCAGTTTGCAACAGATGGCGCAGGATGATAACAAATTATATTAACCGATTTCTTATATCGAAAACACTTACAAAACTAAACCTTGTTATATTATAGAAATTAGGCAATAAGTGTAATAATTTTTCTTAATTTTAGTATCATCCTATCCTCATTGGTTACCTACAATTAACTACTCAGACAAAGTTGTCTCCACTTCTTATACTTTATTGCTATTTTATAAGTATGACAAAAGAAAAGCCTAATAACTATATACTACATTTATCCAGTTCGAAATATTTTATACAATACAATAATGAGAATAATTAAACTTAATATAAATTTTAATATATTAAGTGAACTAATAAAAATACATTCAATTTATATAATAGATGAAAGATTAAATATTGAGATATTATTTAAATCACAATTATTATGCAATATATTTTGATAGCTAATCATTTTTCCATTGAAATTAATCTTGTTAATGTTTTCTGTAAATGTTAGAGAGCTATGAGATTAAGCCCGAAAGTGCTTTTACCAATATCTGATACTCTTTCTGTATATTATCAGATAAAAGATCAAGGTTCTCGTCATTGATTTATTACTCCTAGAAAAGACGTCAGCATAAAAATTCTACTGTCTCATAAGTTCAAAGTTAGCTATAGAATTCGATGATATGCGACATATATTTTTTTTCTTATTTGTATCATGATAAATAACTATGATATTTATTTTTTGAATAATAAAGATAATATTTCCATGTCTTCATCAACATCAATCGAACAGCAACATCAAGAATTTAAACGACAAATATCAGCACATGATACCTATCCATGTTTTCTTCTTGATCAAACATTTCAACAACGTATATCATCAAATCCAACATCAAATGTTATGCCATCATTTTTATCATCACAAGCATTTTCACCATTAGCTAAAAGTCCAATGACAACATTAACAACAAGTAATAATCGATTATCAAATAAACAATCAAATCAATATCGTTTATTTCCATCGAGTCCATCAAATAATCTAACTTCAACTCGATCAAATACACGTTCAACAACACAAATTGTTGATGTACCTATTGAAAAAACAATTGTTCCGTTAAGAACAATGACAGATTTATTTCCTGCATTTTCTTATACAAATATGAAAATTTCAAATAAACAATCATTAAATTATCCAATGAATACAACAAATCATATCGTACCAAATACAACAGGTGTATCAATATTTGGTTTTCGTGAAGAAGATTTAGATATGATTATACAACAATTTGATGATATTGGTCAAATTGAGAAAGTTGAACGACCTTTAGGTTGTGAAAATGGCAATTTTTTAAATATTATATATACAAATAATGTTTCATGTCAAAATGCCCTCAATAGAGATGGAATTTCGTTTAATGGATATATGATTGGTGTTGTACCATTAATTAATAAATAATAACAATTGAATTCTGTGTTTTTTTTTTGTATGTTGCTTATTCACATTTAAATATATATATTAATGTCTACATATTGAATTTAAAATTAAACTATTCATTTTACCGAGATTTGTAAACTAACAGTCATGGGAATAAATGCCGAGAAGGAGACAGTGAGTTTTTAGAACACGACATTTCATTTAGATTGCGAATGTGTACTTTCTATAGCGTTAGATTCCCCATTACCGTTAATGTCGATCCTTTTAGTTTGTTCCAAATCGGTTGTCATAAGTCTCTCACGCACGAAAAATTTTCAATCAGCATTCAGATTTCAACGACATTTACTGACTTATGTGCATCAATGATTAGCATACTTTATTCGTAATCTTGATAGTGATCTTATATTAATCAAGTTGTAAGTAGTTTTTATTTATATCTATTTGAAATCTACTACATAGATCCAACATGACAGATTCTAGCTGAATGAATCTTTTAGTTCAATCATTCATAAGATTTTATTATTAGACTGTATAAAAATAGATATTACTATAAATATTTTCTTAGTTGTCATGTACTGAAATATAATACTATTCTAGGCATCTTTTGTTTTAATTACTTAGAAATCCTTGATAAACATCAGGAATCCGTTAAATATACTTTTTGCTAAACAATTTGATAGTAGATTTTAGATTGAATGCATATGAAGATATATTTATAGAATATGAGATAGTACGGTTGTTTAGCTTCATCAAGTGATATCAACATACTAGAAAAACAAGTCTCGTATGATTTTTGACTTCATTAACAGTCAATTTATTCCTAGGTAGTTCTTCGTATTAACGATATGTTAATTATTATCATAACAAGTTAAGTGATATTTTTGTGTCAGTTGATATTTATAAATTATAATACATTAATTATTTAATATCTATATATCATTTCTTTTTCTTTTTAAATAGATATAAAATAAATAATAAATTCTATTCAATAAGATTAATAAAATACTTAATTTAGTTTAGTTTTTTTTTGTTTCTAACGAAAGAAAAACCTTAATTGATGAGCTATCTTAAGATATGTCACAAGACAGATGGACTTTTTTTCGATAAGATCATTAGCAAAGTAATATAATATTTCATCACGTAGAAAGTTATGACATGAGAAAAACAACAAATGAGAATCACCTAATGAGTGTCTGATGTTGATTTTTCCGTTTTTTTTTATTTTTTATAGCAATCAAAAAAATTATTTTGAATACATATCCGGCAAAAATTTCTTTATTCTCATTTTAATGACTTCTACAATTAGTAAAAAACTTCTCTTTTGAAAAAAATCCCTAGAATCAATATATAGTTTCTGTTGTTTCAATTAACATGACATTTTAACAGGCATTTTCTAAGTAAACAAACAGAATAATACTTAAGGGAATAGATTTTCTTTGATAATGTATATTGATTTAGCATAGTCTAAATAGATATCAATTTCTTGATAATGAGACATATTAGATAAGTTTTTTTTTATTAAAATAGCACCGATATACATTGCTTTGATTTATTTATATTTTAAGTATTAATATTTGTTTTTCATTGTTCGATATGTGTTTATTAGCATCCATTGAAGATATTTCTTCAATTGGAGTTATTTGTTTATTTACATGTTGAGTATGAATTAAAGTCGATGATATTAATGGACATGATTCTTCATCAGATGTTCTATTTGGAATTTGTTCTAAAGGTGAAGATGTTCCAATTAGAATTTGTTGAGTTGATTCAGTTAATTTTGTTTTAACCATTTTCGAATCATTTGTTGTTGTCGATGTAGACGTACGTGATATTCTTTGATGTTGTTCTTTTGGTGCTGATGGTAATAATGGATTTTGTTTCAAATTTTGTATTTGTATATTGGATTTTTTTGTTTGATGTGGAAAAATATTAAAAACAAATTCAATTAATGTCTGACGAAATTTTTGACCAAAACAACAATAAAGTAAAAAATTTGTTGATGTATTTAATACAATAAGTAAAATACCAATTGAATTTAATGTTTGAAAGTTTAAATTTCCAGCAGGAGCACTATGATCATATGCATACCAAACATTTAAGACAAGTAACGGTAATTGACTTAAAACAAATACAATTATAACTGTTACAAGCATTAATGTTATATGATAATCAGCTGTTTTCTTCTTATTATTTTTTCCAACTAAATTTTTTTTTTGACGTTTTTTTGCAATTAAACTTTGTATAATTGTTGTATTTATACATGCTAATGTTACAAATGGTATCACATAAACAACAGGTATATATGTATAGATTCTTATATATTTATAAATTTTTTCACCAATTTTTGTAAAACGACATGAATTTGATTTTGGATCATATTGTTGTTCTAACCAATATGGAATACAATAAAGGATAGAAAATAAATAAATTAAAAATATTGTTATAAGTGTTGCACGTTTTGTTAGTATACGTTTTGCTTTTAATGGAAATATAACTAATATAAGACGATCCATTGATACAGCTATTGTTAAATATATAATTGATAAAAGTATTGTATTATAGATTGGAGTTGTTGGTAAACGCATTAAAAATATTTCGAAAGCCGATTGAGGTTGATTTGACATATATGCACTATATCCTAATAAATATTTCATTGAATATGTTGGAATAAATATACAAAGAAAAAGTATATTTGAACAAGATAATGCTGTTAAATAAACATTTGTTGATGTTGTACGCATCGATGGTGATATAAGTACCAGTATCGTAATGATATTTCCAATAATACCAAATATACTTAACACCATACCAATATATCCCCAAACAATAAGACGAAAAAGAAGAATATATGTAAGATGATAATCAGTATCATCTTGTGAAATATTCGATGTCATTTATGAACTTTTAGTATCTATTACTTTTTTTTGTTCTATCACAATCTAAAAGAGATGAAAATAATCGATCAATTCCATGTAGTCTGCAATGTATAGAACGAAGGATTTGCATATGCTTTCTTTCAAAACAAAAGAGGATAGACAAGCATCTTTATTGAGATGAGACTCGATCGGTCCTATGAGAATAGCGGATGTGTAATATCCGCTTGTTGAGTAGAGGAGATATATCTATTTAGAACTATAATGGATTGACATTTTTAGTCTCTAAGATATGAACGATGAAGAGCAAAGAAAAGAATCATTCTTTTCTATTATTAATAATGTGTATAAACAGTCTACAAGAGATCGATTGTATACGGTTATACTAAAAACCTTTAAAAAAAAGTGATAAATTATGCAAATTAACTATCAAAAAAAAAGAAATTCTCGCGAATATATTATTTACCTATTCTTTTTCATTATTAAAAAATAAATGTGTGACATGAAGGATACCGTAAATGAATATATAATTTTCTAACATACCTTGTCATTATAAGTTTCTTTTCTCTTCCCACATATTAGAATAGGAAATAGTTTATTTTTGTCTTCCTATATAGTAAATGCATTGACGATATAATGATTAACAAGTTGCAATAGAAACTAAAAATGTGTTAATTCGATAGAAGAAATCGAAGTGTTGATTGTACTTAAATAGGATAAATGAGATGGCAAGTCAATGATCATAACAGTATCGGTCACGGTGAAATACTTACTTTTACATAACATTATCCAGTCAACTATTGACTTTTATTTTGTGTTCCGTATGATAAGTAGATTTTGTCATAGGCAAAACTTATTCATGGATCATTTCTTGTTGACCCTAGATAAGTGTTATAAACATCTGTTTGAAGTAACGCGCATTGTATCATGATTTCGCTCTGATAAGATTTTATGATATATACATTTGTCTTACTACCTATCACTGGGTTAAATGAGAAGGGTTTACAAATAGATGTGTCTGTTAACGAAACTATCCTAAGAATGGATCAGTAATAAAAAAAAAAAAAGAAAAGAAAAGAGAAATAAAATGTTTTACAAAACGTTAAGTTCCTTTCACATATATAATGAACGTAAATCGTATTTGGACCGTAAAAAATGCACGGTTAATTCTTAGTGAAAAGAATCTAGGTTTATTTAATAACAAAGATAATAATCAAATATTCTATTCAAAACGAATATATGGCTTTAGTGACCTACTCTGTTGATCTATTAGAATCAAACTGATAGTCGTAGGAAATTTTCTGCCTATTATATATTGCCTAATCAATTACAGAGAAACAAGAAAGAGAAGAGAAAAGATTGAAAATCGTGTCACTTGATAATCAAGGATTTTTAGAAAAAAAGAGAAAAGAGAGAAAAACCAAAGGAAAGTCCTAGTTTGTATCACTAATATTCATTCATTCATATATTAATAATAATAGAGAGATTTTTTTTTCTTTTGTATTAGAGCTCGTCTTTTTCCTCGCGTTCTTATTCTCATTTTTACCATTAATAAGACATCATCAAGGATAGAGAGAATGATAGAATATATCCAAAAAAAAATGATGGTAAAGAAAAAAAAAAATAGAAAGACAGACAGATAGACAGACAAATACTTCTCGTCTAACTAATTTTTCTTTCTTTTTTTTTTTTTTGTTGTATGAACTTAATAATCATTTTTTTTTTCTCCGTGACGTATGTTTCTGACTTAGACTACAACTAACAGTTTTCTTCGTTCGAACTTGTCAATTATAAGACACTGCGTAGGAGCAACCGATTATTAGGGCCTTCCTTTACCCGTAATTTTGTTTGTGTCGGAAAATGCACAGGATACAATTGTTACTGGGTAATAAATTTATGAAAAAAAAAACAATCAACGGATTATCATAGTAAACCTTTGTATATGTATATAATTTTATTGTTGTTTTATAGTAATAATATCTTATTATGCATAAAGATACCATTTCTTCTTCTTCTTCTTCTTCTTCCGATATTATAATCAAGAATATTACCCGTTAGATATTTTCATAGATACGCACCAATAACAAAATAATGGTGTAATATCTACTGGTAACCGATTTTTCGCATGTAAAAACAAAAAATAAAGTGAATTATTAGATAATTTAATTATTGATTGTAAACATATAGAGATATGATTCAATGAAGCATATGGATAAAAATCGATTACACAAGAAATCTAATCGTTCTTTCTATTAATAAACATATTGTTTTTCTGTCAATAGATTCATAGCGTAATAAATAACATTTCAATAATAGACAGTTTTTTAACTATTTATAGAATATTTTTCAATATCAACCTAGATAAAATTGGAAATATTAATGTTAATATTTCATCTATTTGGAAGTATTCTTCAAAAAAAAAATAAGATAAAAGAAACCGACTGATTTGATTAGCACTACATTTCAAGTGTCGCTCATCAAAGTTCAGATCACATTGGATATGTCTGTTCGTTGTGTGATCTAACAGTACTTGAAGATGACATGAAAAAACAAAGGAAATTTAACTATCTATCAAAATGTTCCAAATAATTAGATCTTGTCATTTTTAAAGGAAATGTATGATTTTTTTGTTAAATAAATCAGACAATACAATATATGATTAAGAAAAGAAAAAAATGCATACAATAATTAGTCAGATATTTAGTTACATGACATACGTCAATGAGTTCAATGATATATATTTAAATATTTTTCATGCGTAATAGAAAAAAAAACAATTCTTGTTTTGTAATACTAAAGAATTCTTATAATATCTAATCTTTAGAAGGTATTGCTAGGAATTAGTTTCATAGTTCTTCATAAAATAATAATGAAGTATTTCAAAAATGAGAGTATCTATTTCAGGAACTATTTTTCTAAGTCTGCTTGTCATCATATGAATACATGAATAAGAAAATTTTTGCTCTAAATATTCTTATCATACAAATTTTTGAAGCATAAAATCAATTTTTGTTTTGTAAATCTTCGACATTATTAGTAACCCTTAAATGTAACCAGAATTTGATTAAAGAGAAAAACATAAAATTCAAGAGAAAATAATTTGTTGTTGTTTTTATGTCTTCAACAACAGGACATTGTAATTAAATATTTATTGAATAAACTATTTCCGTTTTTATTAATGAATTTCATTTATTTAATGACATTGACTATTTTTGGTATAAGATAGTATAAACACATTAACATACGTATATACTTTTTCTCTATTCTATTGATAGTGGAACAAGATGCATAGGAAAAATCTAAAAAGAAAGACTTCGTCTAGTATCACTATCTTGTACATTCCATTATCAATAGAATCGAGAAAAGAAAATGCGCATGTATATATATGTTTATTTTATCGTATCTATATTCCATACCAAAAATAATCTTAGAAGGGGAAGTAAGCATCATTGACAAACGTCATTAAATAAATAAAATTAAATACTAGGCATAAAAAAACATTTTATTAAACAAATATTTAATCCGATGTTAACTATATTTAGAATCCAATTTGCAGAGTTTGTTTTTCGGTCTTTACAAACACAATCTTCTAAAGTATTATAATTATGATAACTATTTTTGTTGGATGAATAATAATGTTCATGAAAGTATTAACGGCTTATTTCTTTAATCTATATGCAAGCTATTTTTATAAAAATTTAGAAGCGGATGATGTCCTACTAAAAATAACTTGGCATCAATATGGTTTTAGACCAAAAACAAAATGGTAAATTAATTTTTTTATTGACACCTGAATATAAATGCTTAGAAATAATTATCGTTCGCTATTATTAATATATAAAGATAACACTTCGAATTTAATTTTCTTATGTGTCATATTATTAATTTATAATACTATAAGTTGACAGAGTTTGACGTGAAGTGAGAGACAGATAATTTATTCAAAACTCTATCAGATATATATCACCCTTCTAACTGGTCAATTTTATGAGGCTAGATATTTCCATCGGTAGCAATGATAGGTTAATGTACTACTCTCTATTTTTGTATACTAAGTCTGAATATACCCTATGACTTAATAAAAGGATTAGTTTTATTATTACATTATGCAAATTAAATAGTTTTGCCAAAGCGGTGTCTATACATACCATCGAGAAAAAAAAAGTTAAACAGTTTTTTTGAATTGATAATTAGATTATATATATATTTTCCCATTCCATCTAAGAAATATGTGAGAAGTTAAGTTATCGAATTGCTTTTGGATAGAATGAATTCCTTATCTTGGCCAAAGCACTTGATATGAATATGCCACATACAGTTGTTTTCTATCATCAATCATAATCTTTTGTTACATATTTCTTTAAAAAGAAGGTGAAAATACAAAAAAAGGAACAAATAATTAATCATCTATATGATATATTAATTTCCGTTACACAAACCTCAAGATATTCAATACGTTCTTTCCGCATCGTTTCTACTAATTCAACTTCTTTTATTAAGAAAATAATTGTCATAATCGATTTAAATACTTTTATTTTAATTTGATTTGAAGTATGTATATATATATCTTCGATAGTCATAGAAGAACTTTTATTTCATCGAAATAATAGATAGTTAATTAATTTATTTGTGCTTTATAACATTTGAAACATTTAAGAAAAGAAAAAAAAAGAGAATTACAAAGAAAAAGATAGACATCTACATATGTTTAATAGTATGAATGCTTTTATTCAAAAAAGATAAATGAGAAAAAAACATTAGAACTGCATCCAACTTAAATCGGAATGAACACTACTATTATTATTGGTTGCTGCTGTTGTTGTTGCTGTAGTAGTAGATGATGATGATGATGATGACGGTGCTGGTGGAGCAATTTTAGGATTAGTTGAAATAGGTGGTGGCGTTAATTTTGGAACGATTGAGCCAGGTGGTGGTGTTAATTTTGGAATCAATGAACCAGGTGGTGGTGGTAAGATTCCAGGTACAATCGATTCATTTGCATTTTTAACTGTTTTTTTCGTTTGTTCATCGCCTGGTAAACTACTTTTTAAATTGATTTTAATAGTTTGTCCTTCTTTAAAACTTAAATCAAGTTTCGGTTGTTGCTGATGTGAAGGATTATTAGCTGTTTGTTCAGCTTCATGTTCAATTTGTTTGGCTTGTTTTAAATATTTAAAATGATCTTGTAAAGCAACATTAAAATCGAATGAATCTGAACGATCATTAAAACCAATACCTAAAAATGCTTGTTGACCATTATCATTTTGTACACGTATAACAAAATAACGTGTTGAATCTTCAACATTTTCAACAGCTATTGATGGATAACTTTCAACTGGACATGTTGCAAAATGTCCACCAGTATTACGATCTTCTAAGCGTATTAAACATTTTTCACCTTTAGATATAATTTTTAGACGACATATAAAATTTGGTGATTCTAATTTCCAATCAGCTGCACGATGTTTACGTGTAGCTGATTGACGTGGAGGTATCACATAAACATATACTTCAGGTTTAACTAAGCCTATTGATTCATATGAATCATCATTGATAGAAGCCATTGATTAATTTGAATACGATCTAAAAGAAACTATACAATGATAAGATAAGAATGTAAACATGAAAATACAAATGAAATAATAATTCATGAGTTGATCAGTTCTATTATATGATTCTCACTATAAGAAGGAACCAATTAGAATTTTAAAAATGATTCATCGATCGTTCTAAAACTAACAATAGAGGACGCTGTTTTTCATCAATCTATTACAGATTTATCATAACATTTAGCTAATTCTCTCGTCTTCTCTAATATCACTTCGATCAACGTATTCATATGGTATTTTTTTCAAAAATATCAAATATACATTTCAGTAACAATTCTATTTACAGTGCTTCAGTTAGAGAGTGTAATATTTGAAGATCTAAATATCAACAGTTGGCTTTTAGTATCGTTTCACAAAACTTAAATCAAACAGTATTGATAAATGATGTTATTTTCTGTCAAATACAGATATTTTTTATTTACACTCTAATACACTTTACAATAAATTCTGTATGTGTCGTATGCGGAAGTAGATCAACTGGATAGATATTAGTAGGAATCAATGGTCCGCCAGTTTGTTTTAGTTTTGATCGTTCACCAGCTGCTAATCTAATAGAAAAAGAAGTTGCAGATAAATCAAATTTCTTTTTTTTTTCAAAAAATAAACATACTCGTAAAAATTATGCATTATTTGTTTATCAGTTTTACATAATACATATAAAATTTGTTGTATAGATGATAAACCACGAAGTGCACTTATTATGTTATTTGCTATAATAAAATAGATTAAATTAATTTTTCAGTAGTGTTAAATCGCGGAAGAAATTCTTAGGATATAGAATCTAAAATAGTATATGAACCACTAGAGTATCAATATATGTAAACAGTTCCATATCTATATATAACAGATCAATTCTGTGGATGATTTTGCTCCCTAGTTTTACAATCATACATCGATTGTCTATAGTATAAATTAGCAGTCGAAATAGGTCACATTTTGTTAATCTGGTTTTAATCTGATGTAATCTAGTTTTTGTCGAGGCCCGTTGGATCTCAAAGGAAATTTCTTTTTAAAATTCCTCTTGAATCAAATCATTTAATGAAATAACAGGCAATAAAAAATATAATGCGCTCCTTATTGGTTCACGCATGGATCAAATTCTTGCTTATTAAAATTTTGTGTTAACTCACTTAGACTATATCGTGATGGATTGATAATAGCGACGATACGAGTGTTATTTCCATGTAGATCACCAATTTTCTTTAATATTCTATGTAAATGTACTTCAGCAAAGCCACAAATCCATTCAATATTATCTTGACAACCATTTAATTTTGCATTAAATTTTCCATCTTCAATACACATTGTCAAAGGATCAATTGCATAGACTTTTTTTGCAATCGATGAAGCTAATATTGAATTAACACCTATAGAAGAAAACCAAAAATGTAAACGATTAACGAACTATTGACTTCTTACCAATGCCTGATCCAATATCTAATAGAATCGTATTTTCATCTATTTGAGCATGATCTAATGTAGATCTATAAATTACTTCTGCACCTTTTTGATTTACTTGTAAGAATGATTCAGGTGATATACGAAATTTTTTATCATTATACACTTCATAGATAAATTCATCACCATGAATTAATTCAAATGGATTTTCTTCACTTGTAAAACGATTTTGTGTACTAAATATAAGCAATAGTTGTACACTAGTATATTTATCTATTACATAAATAATTTACCATAGCTGAAAATAAATTGAATTTACTTCACATTCACGACCTGATCCATCAGTGAAGTAATTCACTAGATCTTTCTTCATTTGATCAATTTCATTCTAATTAATATAACAAATTATGCGAAACAAAATTAAAATAAGAATCTTAAATAGAGCACCTTACTTAACGACTGAGGATGAACAACTACAATCATCATTAAATGATCATGTACATTTGATTTTAATGTCATTGTACGCCAATATTGATCCTTTTTTATAACATTTGTATTTTCAGATACGGAAAGAGGATGTTGTTTAAGAAATTGATCAAAATGCTTCAATAATACATATTTCAATTGTTTTTATTTTATTTATAAATCTATCAAAAATATTTACCTTTGTCACAAGAATATGTTTTGGTTTCATACTTTTTAAATGTGTCGGTGGTATACATAAAGTATTTGGAAATGCTTTAACAAGAAAAGTAAGAAATTGGTTCAGAAAAAATAACTACCTTTATTATTCAATGGACTAATATAAAATCCAACTGTTTTTTGTCCATCGACTCCAAAACCACAAGATAAATCATCTTTAGATCGATAATGTTCTATTAAAGGCTATTTTTTAAATGAAGATATTTGATTAAGAGAAGAAAATATAATCATACTGATGGAATAATTGGTTCAACATGACAAAAGGGACCTTGTTGAAATTCAACATATTTTAAAACTTGACTATCAATACGTTTGTCCCATAAAATAGCACGACCAATTTGATCGAATGATTGTTCAATCATATCTTGTTTAATCTATATTAATTCTTATTCTTAAAAACATGCTATAGAATGTATTAAATTTACTTTTAATTGTTCATCATATGAAAAACTTGCTAATGGTAATATCATATTAGATAATCTAGAGCAAAAAAGAATTAGATATTTTTAGTATAATAAATGAGAATGATTTACTTTTCATATTGATTTTCCAATATTACATCTTCAGCATATGGTTTGACTGATTCTTCGAAATGAATGGAATCAAATTTAGGCTTTCGATTTTGTGTTCTATATAAAAAGATTAAGCATATCATCAATATAAACAAAAATGAAATTCAAGTTACGGATAAGTTTCGGTAGATTTTCGTGTAGATGTTTGATGTTGTAATGTTCGAGAGATATTACTAATAACATGACAGGAAGTCACAGAACGCGACGTTAAAATTTTAGAAAAAAGCATTGATCTAAATCATCTAATATGAAAATTTCTTTAGTATATGAGTGATAAAAAAATTCGATCTTTAAAATATAAGATGGAAAACGAACAGCACAAATCAATATCTAGTTCGTCCACAGATGTCAGTGTAGCTGTAATTGTGGTTTATCGTAAATGTATGACAAACTTATCTAGAATAACACACCATATCACAAAATAATATTGAAGATCTACATGCCACGTTTATCTGATTTATATGTTTGTTGTTATTTCTCGATGGTATTATGAAGTAAAATTCGAATTATTTTCATGTTAGTAATAGATATTATGGTAGTTTACCCAGAGCCATTGTTTATTTAATTTTATAGTAGCCTAAAATGTATGCCTTCTATAATATATACATTCCATTCCATATTATTTTACTTTACTTGAAAAAAAAGCCATATCGATAAGAAAAATATGAATGTCTCTCGAACATTTTATTGATATATAAATAAAAAAAGAATACAAATGAACTTTTCGAAAAAAGGAATAAACAATAGATTTGTCATCATAATCAAAGAAAAAGAGTAACATAAATATGTCAACTGTATCTATCTAATAAAAATCAAACTGAGAAAAATGAAATAAAAAGAAGAAAATTCAAACTTTTTCTGTAAAATAAAATGTAGTTAAAAGTCGCACTTAATAAACTATACACAAACACACACAAGTGAGAACATCATATTGATGTGAGTAGAAGAATTTTGAGTTTAAAAAGAGATATAATAGAAAAACTCACCAGGAGTGGTGTTTAAAATAAATAGATATTCATGCATATTTATATGATTTATACTGAACAAAATATAAATGGTCAAAGAACAATAGTAAAAGAATAATTTCTTTTGGTCATAAATTAAATGATAAAAGATACGGCTGAATAACACAGAAAAAACATAATGAATCACCTCGTCTTAACGTATGTGAGTAGATAAACATTAAAAAGCAGCAGTAAAATTTAGTGAAAGAATTAAAGATGAACTTTTGAAGGCAATAAACATGACACAAGTCAAATGAACGACGAAAGAAGTTTCAAATAGACTTCTTTCAAATGTCGTAATTGACTAAAATAGAAAACGATGTTGCATAATGTGTCAAAACGAGGATCGAAACAAATATTAAAAGGGTGTCATTGATGGTGTAAAGGGTGATGGTTGAGTATATCCTCCGACTAAAATTATGGAAAGAATTTAATTAAATAATTTTTTTGCATATAAATATTTATGATACATACGTCGAAACTCGGGATTAAGTATAATTATTTTAAAATTGCGTCGGCCACGAACTTGAGCAACAAGTTGAATAGCATCGAAAAGACGAGGCATTGTCGGAAAACCATAATCTGTTGGATAAAGTAAATGTGTTGAACCAGTTCGACGTTGATATTCAACAATGAAATCATCATAAGCCATACGACCATCGCATGGACTTAGAAGAAGTACAACATTGTAAGCAAAGAACATTGGTGGAGTTAAACGAACTGTTTGATCAATCACCTAATAGATAAAGAAATAAATAATTAGTAAATAAAAACATCTTCTAATATACTTCGACATAGTCTCGTAATTCATTGCGACACATATTTAATGTAACATCTTGTTTAAAACGAACAAGCATATCTTGTTTTAATTGCCAAAAAGACAATTGACATTGTGATAACATTAAAGTAAGAACAACATTTTTAGCTAACTGAATTGTTCCTGGATTTGATTCTTTAGTTGAGAGTGTAATATCAGCTTCAGTATAATGAAACTAAAAAATTATATTTATTATAAATAATATAAATAGATTGTTATTTGTTACACATACTTCAAGTTTATCAGTCATTGTAAGAAGTAATGCTTCAATACTAGCAACACCAAAATCTTCTGGATTTAATTCATTTCGATAGACTTGTAAATATTGTGCTTGAAGATCTTTCAATTTCAATGGACCATGAGATTTTCGAACGAGTTGTTCAATATTTAACAAGATTGCATGTGCCATCATTGCTGGTGTTAATTGAACAATTTTTTCACCGTTTTTATCTTCATTAATCTATTTAAATATATATTTCTTGATTTAAAAAAGAAATTCTATTTATAAATCATACTTTAACAACATGAGAAAGTTCTTCAAGTAAATCAATTAAACGAGAAAATCCATATGTTTGTACTTTACATTGATAACCAAAATGATGACTAAATATAAATAAATATATATATATATATATCAAATAAAATAGAAAAAAATGTCTTTTATTTACTGATATGATGGAATAAATTTTTGAAATGGTATACTAAAATCAGGTAAAATACGAAGCATATCAATGACATCTTTTTCGAAATTACGTGTTGCATAAACTTCTAAATCAGTCCGTTCTAAATCATAAGATAATTATAGAAATTAATATTTAAATTAATACTCAATATTACCTTTACGATAAAGTTTAATAATATCTTTATCAGCTTCAACAACTAATTCTTTATTATCTTTAACTTCATTCACAAGATCTTCCAAATAGCACATACCAAAATCAGCAACAGAAAAAGATTTTTTATAAGCCATTTCTTAAATGAAAAAAAAAAAAAATTTATAATACAGTTCTATATATTTAATCAAATCATGTGTAGAAATGGATCTTATTAATATGAAATTTGAAAGCATGTTTTTTCTTACCATATTCAATTGGAATTTCACTAATTGACATTGATCGTTGTGGTTTATTTTTTAATATACGAATAGTATCATTAGTAAATCGTTTCATTTGACAACGATGTGTAATTGTCATAATACGTTTGTTTCCATCACCAAGAATCTATGTTTAAGAAATAAATAAAATTAATTATGTACGTCATTCTTATTTTATTCTCTATTTTTTACTTGAATCGATTTTGGTATGGCAAGTAAAAGATCAATTATTTTTGAAAAACCATAATCAGCTACACGACATTGTCGACTGAAATATTGATGATAAGCAGAAACAAATTTTGAAACAGGTAAACGACAATGAGATCCTTGATTTTTAAGTAAATCAAGAACTTCACGTGAAAATTGTTGTAAACGCTGTTGAACTTCAGCACACATTTCGACATGCACTTTTAAAAAAGAAAAAAGAATCATTCATATATAAAATATAAAATGTAAAAATTATTTAATTTACTATTAGATGTATCAAATGGTGTTGGCATAAATGATACACCAGGTGTATTTGAAAATTGAACTTTTTTAATAACACCTTGTCCAGTTAAAATTTGAATATCTTTGATGCCTGATGAAAAAAAACAAAAAAAAAGATTTAATTCAAGATTAGATAAATTAATAATCTTTAAATTTACATGAAATATAATGTTCAAGTGGAACACCTTCATTATGATCAAGTAAAGGTTCGAAACTTTGTGTATAACATTGTGGAAAACTTAAACATATTAAAATTAATAAAATAATAGAATTAGAAATAAATTAATACCTAGCTAATGGCATCGAACCATTATGTAGAGTTAACAATTGACGAACATTATCAGCGAATGAACTGAATGAAATTTGAACGAATGGTAAATCAAGATCAGGATTAACAATAAAGTTTTTTGGACAATGTATTATACAATAAGGTTGTTCCAAATGGTTCTAAAAGAAAAGATATATAAATAGTTAATGATAGATTAAAATTAAAAGATGACATACTTGAATACTATTTTCATCGAAACGTACACGAAATGCAGGTAATAGACGAGCAACTCGATTACCTCCATAATCTTGAATATCAATAACGTGTTTCATAGTATATAATTCACTCACGTGAAGTGGTTTTTGAAATCTATAAAAAATATGTGATGTCTAATTAATATTTTAACCGAAAAGAACTAACCGGCTTTGATATTCTTGAATAAGTGTAACAAGTACACAAGTACAATCTGGATGTTCTTTAAGTAGAAGTGCAATTTCCAAAGCTCGTCTATATTATAAAACAATAAATATGTCGAATGAAAATATATTTATTGAATAATTATTTACTCAGCTGAATCGATGTTAGTAGTATTTGATGGAAATGGTGCTGGAGGTGGTGGTGTTTCATATGTAGAGGCCAATGCAGGTGTAATACGTGATCGTTTAATTGACGATGATGGTACTCGACTGTACAAATCAGGTGTTGCTGATCGTACCGGTGTTGAAAATTCGAGTTTATTTATTGGGTGATTATTATTATTAGTGAATGATCGGCCATCTATTATAAAAACAAAAAATTAAACTTCAAATTTATTAACAAATTATCATTTACTAGTTGTTCGATTAGTAACATCAGAGAATGGTCGTTTAGTAGCAGCACCATTCGTAGGTGATTGCGGTCCAAGTTCACTCATTACTGAACGAGGTGTATAAATAGGTGGTTCATGCATCGATGAAGTATTCCATTGAGATGGACTAGACATCCACCAAGTAGGTGTGGTGGGTTGCATAAATGCAGTATCCATAGAATTATTATCACAAAGTAAACTTAATACTGTTTGTTTATCAAAATCAGGACCAAGGCACCAAAGCACGCTAGGATCCATTTCAGCAGAGGCACTTTTTGGTTGTTGTAATTGAAAATCATATGACCTATTACAAAGGAAATTGTTTTTTAATAAATAATTTTAAAAGTTCGATCATTAAACTAACATCGAAAATGGCATTGTTTTGTATTTGTTGTAGTGAACAGATAGAAAACAAATCGACGTCGAAAAGTGTGTGCGAATGTATGTGTTAAAGACACATGTGTTACAGTCTCCTTATAAAGAGAGATATATATGTATATATCTATGTACATACTGACTGACGACATAAAAGAAAGAAAACGATTTAGAAAACAACTAATGAACATTCGCTCGTGTTTTTTTTGTTCGTTCGAATGATGGTGCCTCGAGCTAATCATGCTGACGAGTACGTATAATATGAAAACATACATTATAATTGTCGTATATCGTACTGAAAGTCTTATGACCGAAAGTAAAGAAAAGAATGTCCTTTACCGCCAACGCATATATTTTGTATTACAATCACCATTCTGAGAAAAACGAAAAAAAAAAGATACGTTACAATCAAAATATTATTTTCTAGCTTTATCAAAATTGAAAAAAAAAAGTTTCTTTTTTGTTTAATGTCTATTTAGAAGAACTACAAGATAATAAATAGTATGATCACACATAATTTTGGTAATAAGTCGGACTTTCAAGATCATCGTCACTCGCTGAATCAGCATCGTTTGAATTATTTAATTGTCTTGAACAGATTTCTTGCCGTTTTTTATTTATTTTACGTTCTTTTGCACGACGATTTTGAAACCAAATTTTAATCTATTCAAAAAAATTAAAAATTAAAAAAAAATATTCGTTTTATTTTATCACTTACTTGTCTTTCACTTAATCCTAAAGTTGATGATAAAGCTGCTTTACGTGGTATTGAAATATATTTTGATATAGTAAATTCATTTTCAAGTTCATACCGTTGACGATCAGTATAGACAATACGATATTTATCACGTGTACGAGTTTTTCCTAGAAATAGAGAAATAATTATTTCTTTCATTTTTTGCTGTTATAAAACTTTATAACACTCGACCTAATAAAATCTCTACTAGCTTTTACTCCAGATATAAAAACTGTATGTATTCACATGAATATATGACACAATTAAATTTCTCTTGTGAAGGTAAGTTAGTTGCTTCGAATTTATTTTATGAAACAAATTTTACTTTTAATATATCAGAGAAATTCTTGTTGACTTTTTAGAAAATGTTTTCTATTCGTTCAATATTGTTACTATGTGCCACTCAATGGATGAGCTCAAGATTAATCTTATCAATATATGTGTATCAACAATTGAAAGTCATAAAAAAAAAAGAAATGTATATGCACTATGGTACCATTTTATGACACTCGACATTCTTTTTTTAGCTAGCAAAACTTAATCAAAACGGATTGAATGATTGTTACTTTTATCATATTTCTTAAATTGTTTACATTCAACACCGATCCCTCTGATCAATGTCTAACACCAATGTGGAAGCGCGTGTTTAAGTATTATTTAATTCAATGCCCTTTTACATTTTCTTTTCTTTTTAAAGGTCAATTGAAATGTATGACATACCATTTGTTGGATTTTTTGGTGGTACCGGAGTTAATTGTGGTTTAAACCAATTCATTTGTTGTTCATGACATTTCGTATATGAAGAATCTGATGGTTCTTCTTTACTATCAGATAATGGTTGATCAAGATTATGTGATGATGGTTCATAATATGGTGGTGGACTATAGGAAGATTCATATTTCATTGGAAGTGTTGGTGTTGACCATTGGGATTGATCACATACATTATTATTTGGATAATTATAATGTCGATAAGTTGTTGGAGATTGATATTCAGTTGGTGTTAGCCAATTGGATGATTCATTTGTAGGATAAAGATGTTGATGAATATGATGATGATGATGTGTAGCTGATATTGTTGTTGATGTATTTATTTGTGATAAATGTACAGATGGACTTGATCCAAGTGTTTCAATACTTTGATTTATTGATGATGATGGTGTTGTTTGAATTTGATCTATAATTGAATTTGTTGTTGAAGATGGAGGAATTGCTAAAATATTATGTGTTGTAGTTGGCCAATAATTATAATCAAATGCTTCTAATTTCGATGCTGTTGTTGTATAATCCGGATAGGGTATATAAGTATTATAGGATGTTTCATAAAGACGAGAATTAGCTTCATGATCAACAGTTATTATTGATGGATAGTTGTTATTCATTTTCTAAATTAATACATATATGAAATATAGAATTTCTCTACAACAAAATGATTATTTCTTTTCATACATAGCGAATAAAATATCTTTTGGGATAGTTCGTAAAGAGAAAAATATCTTTTTTTGTTTACCTGTTTGATGATTATAGGTGTTAATAATGACGCAATAAATGTAAGTGATTATTTCACGGATAATCAAATTTTGTTATTGTTGTTATTATAGTAATAAAATTAGAACTTTTTGATATTGCTTTAGTCACATGGTACAATCATAAAAAATCAAGGAATTATTTTCTTCAATTGAGAGAGGAGAAGATGATGATGATGATGCGTGTACGTATTGAGAGAAGTAAATGTGTATATACTGCACTTTTTCTTTTTTTTTATGATTCAATATCTGTATCGAATAACACTATTTCTCTTGACGATAAATTGATAAGAGAAAGAAAATGAAGGAGAGAAAAAATTGAAGTATAGATTTTTTTATTGGCGGAGAAAAAAGAATTAATATTATTGGTGGATAGAATTGCTAAAAAAGGTATTATTGATTCATTCGATTCGGTAGTAATGTTAATTTTAAGGGTAAAATATGCAAATATAAAAGCAGTGATTTCAATAGAACATTGATGAAGTTGAAAATTTTGGTGATTTACAGTTTATGAATTATTTCAGAAAATCAGATTCATCGTTGATCTATTCTAAGAATCTTCTACAAGATAGTTTGATTATAATATCAGTCATTGGTAAAAGTGTAACATTTCTGTGAGAAAAATCAGAAGTAGCTTGTTTTTGCAAAGTTTATCTTACAGAACCATTGATTTAAATGATTTTCGATTGATATACCTCAATGACAACCTAAGTTCATTTCTTTTATTTTACAGAATCAAATAATAATAGAGAAATATTATCTATTTTGTCTTCAAGTGTTCTTATATTGATTAATTCCGTTATATGTTCAATCACGGTATACTCAAAAAGATAAGGATTCTTTCATGAGATTCAATTGCATCGTCATTTTTTTCTTTTTTTCTTACCTACCGTCTGTTAGATTATTATTCATATTATGCTATCTTGTCTTCAATCAAAAGCCTAATAAAAATCAATCTGTGTGAAAAAAAAACGAATATTATGAGATTTGTTTGATAATCTTATTAGAATCAATATACAATGTAATTTTAGTTTATAGGTCAGTTGTTCGTAAAATAGAATCAGGTTCATTTATCAATCTTATTGATAGTTTAAGCTTGTTGTCACTTGAGTGAAAGAAAGATTTTTGACTTCTCCACCCTCGTTCTTTTTTTCACACATACGTGTAACCAATCACATGAACTTATTTAGTATTCATACTAATTGATTCGATGACCTGTTGATGTCTTGTCTTAATTGGTACGATGTAAAAAGTCAAACAGAGCATAAAATTGATACCATTCATAGACATTTATTCAATTGAGTTTAAATAAATAGAAACTTGTCTTACTGTTAAGCTTGGAAATGATACACAATGGGAAAGTTTATTCTCAGGTATAAATGAATGAACAACAAAAAAATATTCTATATGATAAAGCGAAAATAAAACGAAGAAATGGTACTGGTACTATCACATATAACAGACAAATGTAAATAATGAATATTTTAATGCGTATAAGTGGATGATTTAAAATAAAATATCAATAGCAAAGCATGCTGAATAGACCACAAAAAATATAAATTTATACAATAGCACCTTTGTTCCATAAAATGATAAGATCATGAACCAAATGTCTTCTGTGCATCTCAAAATAAGATATGAATTCACAAAACGAAAAAAAAAACAAAAGTTCATGCAGACTTAAAATTAGCAGCAAGCAATAAAATCAACAAGCCATGCAAATGAGCTAATTTTCATCAATATGTGTGCGGTTTTTTTTTCAATTTTTATAATCTCTTTTTTCATCATGATTTTTAAATAAATTACGAAAAAATGTTTTAGCCTGTAACTTTGAATTTTGTAACTGTAAAATAAGTTCGTCGATTGTGTCTGAACAATATAGACAAAGAAAAAGAAAAACATGAAACAAACACATATTAACGTAGAACAAGTTTCGAAAGAGGATTGCTTAATGAATATAATAAAGATTCTGATATTTGTGTGGATGATGTTTTAGTCGTACCTGTTTGAGATGATGGTGGTGGAGGTGGAAGAGGATGATATACAGAAGTTAAATGTTCAAGTTGTTCATCAGTTAGAACATGAAGTGAACCTGTTCGCTCATCTTCATCATCCGTTAATTGTGATGAATAACCATCACTTGATTTTCTTTCATGAGTATTATATAAATTTGTTTTCGATTGTTTATCTGAATCAATAATAACCATTGATGGTGGTGGTTGTTTTGAAGTAAGAAGAAATTGATCATTGAAATTTGTTGGTGTTGTTTCATCACCCTCGGGTGATGATCGACCACTTGTATTAGCAAAGATTCCAGCTGGTAATGCTTCAGTACGAAGTAAACATGAACGAAGTAATTGTTCAGGACGATTTATTCGTTTTACTAAAGAAATTTTCGGGGATGCTACTGGACTAGTTTTAACTGGTGATGGTGGTAATGGATTCTAGATTTGTATAAGAAAAGTTTATTAAATAATTAAAAAAAAGAATGATTTAAATTTCATACAAATTCAGTATATGTTATTTGTTCTTCACCAACACCAGCTGTTCGTTCGCCAAGTTCACGTCGTAATTTTCCTTGACTTCGTTGTGCATGAATTTCATTACTGATTTTTTCAAGATTACGTAATGATTCTTGATATTGAGTTTTAGCTTCATTAACACAAATTTCAAGACCATAAACTTTACGTTTTTGAAACTAACAAATCATATATAAATGAAATAAATATATTATGTTCTGAATTCTTACATCTAATTCTTTATTGTAATCAGCTTTTTTTTCATAATATGGTCTTGAAAAAAAAAACATACGAATTTGTTAATTAGAAATTTTTATTCAATATATTTTTTACTGTGATTTATTTATTGCTCGTCGATAATCTTTTTGTAATTTTTCAACTAATTTTTCAATTTCTGAATAAGCTTGATCAGCAGTTTGTTGATCTAAATCTGCTTGATATTTTTCTCTTTCAGCATCAGCTGCCTAAAAAAAGTAAACCATATTTTTTTGTTTTATTGCATACTAATTTAACAAACTTTTGCAATTGCTTGACTATATGTTTCATTCCATGATGCAGCATTTTGATTGGATCTTTCAGCTTCATCAATATAATCCGCCTAAAATATTCAAATGAATTTCAAAAAACATCAAAAATGAATTCGTACCGAAACAACAGCTAATTCTTTGGCAGCAACATGTAATGCTTGAGCACGTTCAAATCGATGTTTTGCTTTTGTTAATGCTTCTCGTGCATCACGAAGTTTAATTCGAGCATCATAATAACTTCGTGTTTTACTCACAGCTGAACCTATACTTTTCTCTAATTGAGCTAATTCTATTTCACCAGCATCAGAAAACTCTTTTAGAGTTTTTCGAGCTTCCTGATTAAAAATAAAATACGTGAAAATAATAATAGATAAAGAAAAATATAATTACATCAAGCTGTAGCTCTAAATGATTAATAGCTTCATTTGCGTGATTTAATCGTTCTAATTCAATCTAAATTAAATTTTTCGATAGAAGAAATGAATGAAAGAATTCAAAATACCTGAACACGGGGATCAAGTGTATCATCATCGTCTGCCGTTCCGCTCGACTCCGCGATAGATTTGGTCTCAGCATCTGCCAAATTAGCCATACATAATCTGAAAGAACAAGGTATTGCAAAAGTATATCACTTTTTATGAATTAATTAGTTTAATCAGATTATTTATTTGTTCGTCAAAATTATCCGTATCATTATTCGAAAATACGAAAGACCAATCAACATTTTCATCAAGCTGACATTCCGATTCGGAATCATCAATATCAGATGTAAAAATCCAGCCTCGTTTTTTACGAGTATCAATCGAAGCTTCAATACGAACCAGTAATAACTGATTTGAAAAATATTTTTGAAAAAACTCAATATCAGTATAACGTCGAATATCACAAACAATCCATATTGGATTTGTCAAACATATTTCATCTTTTTGTTCAATAGCCAAACGACAAAAAATCGATGAATCTTCACGACGTTTATCTTCACCCCATCTAAACATAAAAATTTTGAAAAAGGAAAATAATTTAATCATATATATACTTAATCATATCTTTTCGATAATTTTCTTTGTAAGATGATGAAGTTAATAATTGTTCACCATTTATTTGATTTAATCGAGCATATTCTAATTTTAATGGTTCACTTAAATGTAAAAGTACGGCATGAAGTTTTTCGGCTAATTTCTCTCCTAAATAATCTTTTCCACATTTACGTTTACCAGAAAGAAGAATTATTTTTTTTATATGAGAATATTTTGATTTATCAAATGATGAACTCATTATATACTAATCTAGAAATAAAATTTTGCAATTTCTTTTCTCACGTGACGTTGAATCATAGAAATTGCACAATAGTAAATAATGATGGTTGTTGAAAATAATAATCTAAAGAAATCTTTAAAAGTTAACTATTTTATATCTGTAAAGAATTTGTTCTAAAGTCATAATAAAAATTAACCTTATATTATTACTTGCTCATAATCTATTTACATACAATTTTATGTATATATATGATGAATGCTTTATCAGAATTGAAGGAGATAATGTTTCGAAGAAATTTTAGGTGTCTACAAGCTTAACTCAACTGATATCCTTGTATCGATAATGATGACAGTATGTTAACACTAGTAAATAGTTTTTATCAGTAATCAAATTAGCTAGGAAAGAATTTTGTTGGCTCAGTAAATAATCATATTGTTTTTATTTTACTATTTATTTCGAGGGATTTTGTGTTTTATATAATACAAAAAGAAGACCTTTACTATGAAATGAATTTATAGTATTCGTGATCTTTTTCATAAATATCAATTATTAATTACAGAATGTGATAAACAATTTTCTCTAGATGGCTGGGAAACTGACTAAACGTGTACTAGAAGCCAAAGATGTCGCTAAGAACACAACAGGTTTTGTTCAATCATACACCGCTAGTGTACATTATGTTAATTTTCTTGAAGTCTTATATGATAATGATGATTAATAATGAAAAATGTTTTTTCAATGTTTATCGTTAAAAATTTTGATTTAACACGTCAATGTGATATTTTTATTTTTTTCAAATATTGATGAAGGATTGTAAGATAGTGTAAAGCCCTTGCGATGATATACAAGGTAGACCGTATAAAAAAATCTTAATGTAAATCAGTACGAGAAAGATGGGTGTGGGTGTGGGTACAATAAAAATAAAAACGCCGACACCCGGACTACCACCCAAACCCTGACCCACCCCACACCCACACCCATCCTCGAGACTTAAGATTAAAAAATCTTGTTTGTTATCGAAATATCCAATCCATATTATTCCGGACATAATAATCTCTATTATCTTAATCCCTTAAATCGATTTCATACACACAATAATACGCTCATTAGACTTCGATAAAATATTTTTGATCTATATTCAATCGTCTTAATTTCCGCAATAATCTATGAAAATATTTGTTAACCTATAATCATCATGCTCCATTGTTATTTTTTTTTTTTGAATCAACTTTAATACATACACACAAAAGAAAATATATACAAAGATGTAAATAAAAAACAAAAAACGCGAATTATTTCTCTAATAATAAATAAATGAATTTTGTTTTGAACATAATATATACAGAAAAATATGAACTGTATAAACCGTAAGCGAATGTTTTTGGTTTTTTTTTCTCTCTCAAAAAACATTTCACTAAAAATAGCACAATGCTTAAGTAATGAAAAGAAAATTTTCCTAGGAATTATTGAATGAAGAATAACATAGATATCGACGAGCTTGTTCAGTTACATAATGTTGATCACGTGTTTGTCCGAGTAGGATTTCTGTATATGTTGGATTATACTAAAAAAGGAAACTAATATGATAAACAATAGCGATCAATGAAAATTTCTTACTCCAAGCGTTTCTTGCAAATTTTTGGATATATCATATTTATTGAAACATATTGATGGATAACTTTCAGAAATAATTGGTTCAGAAAATGGAAGATATTCACTAGAAAAAATGAAAATAGATTAAATTTATTTGAATCATTTCAATTTACTTGAAACAATCTCGTTTTGGACTTGGTGTTAGACAAATTAAATGTGGCTAAATAGAAGAGATATTTATTTTTGAGATTTCAATGAATGTATGAGTTACATACTCGTTCTGGTGTATTAAGTACATGATATTTTGAAGGTGATGATGTATTTGAAATATTTGTCGGTGAAACAATTATATTTTCATGATATTTTACTAGATATGTATCATCATTTGCAAATAAATTTGTATCTGTTGAAAGTAACGATATATGTGGTGATAATGATGATTGTGATGAACAAGTAAATACAGGTAATGATGATGATCTTGTATGTGAATGTAATGGATAATAATCAATTGATGATTGAGAATGAAATAATGATTGATGATGTTGTTGTTGTTCAGGCTGAGAATTTTGACTTGACAAAGGTGTATAATTAGCAGAAGAGGATAACATTGGTAATTGCAGAATTGGTGATGGAGAATTATAATAGAATAAATGCTCGAGATCTTGAGATGATTGATGTCGAAGAAGATCGGTCGAGACTTCAGACGAAGATATAGACTAAAAGTAGATAAAAGCTGTTTTAGAGAATCTGTATGTCAGAGATAACATATATTGATCCGAACGAATAGATATCATTTCATCAATGAACTCTTGTAATACGAACATTATTTATCAAGCACATTTCTTTTCAAAGTTAGTTTCTGAACAGCTCAAAAATGTGAAATAATGTTGAAACGTTTTTTTAAAGTTTGATGAAAAAATCTATATAATGTCTCTCACTTTAGAAATGAATAAATTCTCCATTAACTTCTATGGTTCCTTAATCATGCGAAGCATAATTGAATGTGTACATCAAAAATATTACGAACAAATATAACGCTCTGTATATTTCAATGTGTTGTATAAAATAAGTTGTATTGATCCAAATAATAGCTTGTCCGATTCAGATAATTAACATCCATGTTTATTGAATCTAAGTCTCATGATAAACAATAGAGTGTATTTACAAAGTGACTATCAGTTTTTTACGAGAGGAAATTTTAATGAAAATAGAAAGCATTCAATTCAAATACAATTTGCGAATTGTGTTGAGCGAATCTTATAGTCGTTGAAAATCGAGATCTGCTCCTTCTCGAATAATGAAATTTCTACGTTTCTAATTTGTAAAAAATGAATTTACCTGAATTGGATCAGAATAAATAGCTTCAACATGTTGTGGTGATGAAATTTTAAAATCATGATGTTGAATAGTTGGAAAAATTTGTTGATGATTATTATTACTGTTCACATTTGGTACAAAACTTTCTGTTTTAATAATAGATACAGGTGATAGTATATTCTCGGCTATAGTTTCTTTCCTATGTGAAGATCGTATTTGTGTTGTTCGATTTGTTAATGTACCTAATGCCATCCGAGATGAATGATTAGTAGTAGTTGAAGTTGATTGATCGAATTTTGGCCAAGAAAAATCCGATGGAATTCTACAAAAAAGATAAACTCAATCAAGATAAATATATTTTGTTTAATTTTTATATTTACAGTGCTGTCCAATCAAGTCCTTGTTTTTTAAGATTTTCAACTTCTAAATAAAATTTCTTTTTCATCGATGAATTCCAATGATTTTTAATTGAATTATCAGATCTTCCATTAAAATATTTCGCTATTTCTGCCCATTTATTCCCAAAATGTTGATGTAATATAAATAAACGAAGATTATCATCATTTGTCCATGGATTTTTATTTATCAATGGATTAAGATGATTGTGCCATCTACAAAAACAAGAAAAATTAAATTTTAATTTATTATGTAATTCTATAAACCTTTCACGACATTGTTTTCCAACACGTCCTTTTAATTCTTTTGCAATTAAACTCCAATGTCTTGCACCATAATCTTGTACAAGTTCAATAACTTTTTTATCTTCTTCATCTGTCCATGGTCCTTTTGTTATTGATGGATCAAGAAAACGTTCCCAACGATGTTGACATTGAGCATCTGTACGACCATTACCCACATATTTTGATATACTAGACCAATCTTTAAAACCATCATGAGAATTAATAAATTCTCGTAAACGTTCATCCTAGTAGAAACAATAAGATAAACATTCATAAAACTAAAATTTTTAGTCATACTTCTTCTTTTGTCCATTTTTTATAAGATTTTTTTCTTGTTGTTGATATTTTCTTGATAATTGGTGAATTTTCACTATAATCTAATTCATCTTCAGTAAAGCTACTTCGACTACAACTTTGCCTAGAAAAGTTTTTTTTTCATTTAAAATAAAAATCACATATTAATTAAATATTTCTTACCGTTTCGTGATCATTCCTAATAAAATGTCCCAATAGCAGTCAATTTGTTCGTGAGTGAAAGAACAATGAACGTTCGCTTGTCCGGTCGTTCGTATTCTTTTCTTCTTTTCTCGGCTGCTATGTTCAGAGAAAATTCGACAGGAAAGGCGCGCGCGCGCACACACACATTCGGAGAAAGAAAAAAAAAGAGAAAAACGAAATCAGAGGGGATAACGTCAATCGAATATTGAAGAAGGAAGAGAAGAGAAACGGAAAGAATAGACGTGCTAAATATGTGTGTAAAAAAGAAAAGAAAAACTTTACATTCATGCTGAGTGAAAAAAAAAGCGACAGGTTACTCTTGCGCGAAGAGAGAACATCTGCTGCATGAATAATTGAATTCAATTGATGAACTACGTTCAAATCGATAATAGCATTATAAAATGAAACAAATGGAAGTATTCGTTTAGAAAAAAAAGAATCTTAGCATGAAGCAATTTTTAATGAAGACTTTAATAATATGTAGCAGAACAAATCTTGAAAATTTAGCCCTAGGATTATTTGATAAACATCATGAAATATGTGTTAAATAGCTTATCTGATATTAAATGTGACGACAAATATGAATTGGAAGTTAAATTACAATGGATAGTCTCAATTTAAATTCGTCGTTCGTGTGAATATCGCAGAATAAAAACAATGCTTTTGTTTTACGTAGTAATAAGATAAACTTTCGAATCTATCCGGATTAGATATGCCTATATCTATTAAATATTGTATCAATTTATTTTTTTCATGAAACATTTCATCAATACGATGTGTAGTGAGATTAACTGATAGAATATTTAGTGTTCTTAGTACAACTCATGATTTATACTCGAATTCACAGTAGTTAGGATCCTGCGGGAAAGATTTTTTTGATTCCCGTTCACGTTCACGTTCACCAAAGAAAATTTCCTTGTTTCTGTAAGCACTTTGAAATATGTGTTCGTGTCTCACTATTTGCGTTCGGACGAATATTATCTCTGTACATTAGTTTCTCGCGGCATCATACATTGTTCAGTAAAATAAATATGATATCACAGTAAAGCTAAATTTATGATTGGAACATCGATTGACTAGAAATTCTCTATGTGAAAGCTGAATATGTTTTTTAATGTATCTTAAACGAACTTGTCTATTCATATAAATCTTGTTCATTATCCTTTGTCAGTTATATGTATATCGGTTATAAAAATAAATCTTTTTTGTGTAAACATATATAAATTTATAGGAATCACGAAGAGATATTTTTCGGGAACATCAATTTTTAATATCGTTCCAGTTGACGCGGGAAAAAATCGTTCCCGCAGAACCTTAACATGAGTATAAATGACGTATAAAAGAATCAATTCACTAAAGTATTTTTTAGTATATATATAATTCAGTATGACGCTGTCGTTGGAAATTACCGGGCTATTGTTATGAAATAACATTTATCGAATGCATTTTTTTTATTTTTAATATTAATATTTAGTTAAAATTGATTCATAAAAATACAAGTATTATTACTTTCGACAACAGAGTTAAATATTGAAAATACTAAATTTTTGAAATGAAAGCACTTATTTTCGTCAAATAGTTGACGAAAGAAAAGATGGTGTGATTTTGTATACATTTGCGTTCTATAGTGGGAATAATTCAAACTTCAAGAGTAACAACGCACTACTACTTGGTTTTTTTTCCTACGGACAATCTGCAAAATCATTGATTCATTTAGGTAATATTCCCAATGAAAAATAGTTTTTATTTTTAATAATTGTAATGAGTAATAGCAATCAAGGAACCAAAGTAAAACACGTTTTGAAATACGTCTCCTTTTAGCCATTCATATAATTTTTTTCTCTGGCGTGACAAGTCGTAAACAAACTAAATACGCTAGTGGCGCTAGTAAAAATATTCGGTTGGTTCTATTTCTACTTGTTGTTTTCTTTTTTTTTGCTTACTAGAAGGAAAAAAAAAGAAACACATTGATTGACTACATTTCATAAAAAAATTATGGCATCTTCGTATTCTCCACCCCTATTATATTTAACGGATGATGATGATGAAGATGAAACAGAACATCATATACCACATAGTAATTCATTCACAAGTGCATTTAGCGATAATTTTCCACATAAAAAACGAAAATCTACGAATGCAAATGTTCGTATAAATCCAACAATAGTTAATTGGTCTAAACGACAACGACATGATAATTATAATCCAATGCAAACATCACAAAGTTTAGAAAATTATGAACATGATAGAGAAACAACAATAAATCATAATGATTATATGTATCGGCAACCTGAATCTCATTCATTTCTTGCTTTCGATTGGTCAGCTGAAGCACAAACACCTTCAAGAATCTATCCAAATCCTAATCCTTTAAATCCACGACTATCATCATTTGCACCACCATCTAATATGATAAATGTGGCAAAACGTCATTTAGATCAAATCGATACAAGTTCATTGATTCCATCTATGCATCAAAATGATTCATATATACAACAACCTCAAAGAAAATTAATCAATATACCAATGTCTTCAAATTCACCACCACCGTTAACATTACCTTTACCTTCACCAACATCATCTATCATTCGACCTATGGCACAACGTGTTCCACCAAGAAAAAATATTCCAACATCTTATACACATCCTGTAAGTTAATTATTTTAATTTACTATCGTTTTTTTGAAAAATACATCTTGTTTATCATAAAACATTATTCAATCAAAACATAAATAAACATTAATTTGACCTTTACAAGTTAGTGAGTAATATAGTCTCGGATGTTTTTTTTGAATCAGTCAAGTGAATCGGTAGATAATAGCTGAAAGTGCAAGAGACGTTCGCATTGACCACATGGTTTTTTTTCGTTCTTTTTGTCACAAAGCACCTATAACGCACATTAATTAAACAAAATATGTTATATCGAATATTAGATAAGCGTTTGAGCGGGGGAGTATCAAGATCAATGTTTTCTTTAATGATTGGTCGATTTGACATGATGTTATTTGTAAGCTGAATATGTCTAAATAATAATTTGGTCTCTTGTTCAAGGGAAAATAGTGCAAAAGCGGTACATCTATGTATAAGTCCTTGAAACTATACATATACAAACTAATCCTATTGAAATTTCCTCAAAGCATGACTAATATAGTTATAAAAATCGAATAAATTTTTTTATGCAACATTTTTGTCTAATTTACACGAATGTACTAGAAAAGAAATATTTTTCTGTATCAAATTATTTGTAAACTTTGGTATGCATATATAGTTTTTCTAAATATTTTTCTGATAGAAATATAAATGTACTGTTTGTCATGTTCTAATAACCTTGACTTCGCATGATAAATGTAAAAACATAATTTGTTTATATAGTAAAATATATAAAATCTGAATTTTCTCACTTAATATCCATTAAAGATATTATCTAACTATCAAAATTCTAATAATTAAGAGACCGGCACCTTCATTACCAGTTCATCATCAACCGGAATCCATCTTTCAATCAAGATTTCATCTATCATCTCCTGCTTCAATAATAACTCCTGTAACAACACCAGAAATTCGTCGTCAACCACTTAATGGTACTGGTATTCTATCGGCTTTTTATGATTCCAAATGTTACCGATGTAATATTTGTAAATTTAAAAGTGACTCAAGGTTTACTTATTAAATAATTTATTTATCCGTAATTTATTTCTTTTTTTATTTAGTACGGCAATACTTCAACATATTTTTTCTCATATATTCTTTTGTCCTCAATGTCCATTTTATACGTATTCACATCATAGTTTATATCAACATGTTTTCGAAAAACATAACGTGAATTTTCATTGTGATAATACCGATCCAAAAAATTTAGATCTACTCTATGTTACACGTTGTTCCGATGGAACATTTGCTTTATGTATGGATACATCAACACCAACAACGCTATTATCGCCATTACCACCACCACCACCGCTGCCACTACCACCACAACTAGTAACACAACCTGATGAACAAATTGTTAGAAAAGCAGCAGTTAATAATGAAAAACCTAAACGAAGAACTCCACGAAAGAAAAAGCCAAAAAAGAAAGCAGAAGATGATGATATCGTATTTTTATCAGAGAAACATGACTTTAATTCACAACCATCATCTTCATCATCATTATCATCAATGGCAACAACAATAGCAGCGAGAAAACCAATACTATCAACAGCAGCAACAACACCAAAAAGTCCAGCACCTAAAGAAAAACAAACACATACGTATATTCTAATGAAACATCGACGTTGTTATGCAGTTCGAAATCCACCATGTTTACATGCATTAACATTAGAATATAATATATGTCGTGAACATACTATCAGACATATGTGTCATACACAAAAAATATTCAAAAGACGAAACTTTAAAATAAAATTACAGGCAAGAAGTCTTATTAATGAAATAGCAAGATGTTTAAAAAAAGTTGTTAATAAAATTGTCAATTTGGAAGAAAACAGGTTAGATATATTTACTTATTATATTAAATATTTATATATTGACTGTAATAAACTAAAGCATATGTACATATAGACTCATAAATTATTTTTAATGTTAAATGATATATGTAGAAATAGACAAAATCAATAGTTTACCTGGAACTCATATCTCTATTCTCTTTCTCGTAAAGGTGCCTACAGGGTCAAAAAAACATTTAAAATCGATTATTTAAAAAAGACGTTTCTAGAGGTATTTCGATGCGGGGACTTCGAATTTGAGGTTTATTGGGTGACCAATGTGGAGAGCGAGGACTAAAGAGAGAACAGAGGTCAAAAAAACATTGAAAATCGATGTTTCATGGTTTTTTTCTAGTAAATATGAAGAGGATACATTTCTACGAAAAAGAGCGAAGCGAGTCCTCAGACGAGCGTTATTTGTTTATTATGGAATTTTTTTCCTCCTACAGAATATTATATTTAAAACTGTAAAATATTAATAATTCTCTAAGTCAAATATGAAATACGAGAGACGGTATGTAGCTTTTCAGCTGTTACTTCTTATCGATATAATACAGAGACCTTGTTGTAGAATAAATATGATAATTATGCGTACTGACGTGTCCTTGACTATTAATCAACATTGAATACGTTTACATTTCATAATAATCTGTCTAGATAAATCTTTTTATAGATAGAAATTTCATTATCAATAATAATTTTAGAAATTCATCTGACCTTGTATGTTTACTACCTAATAATATTATCAGTTCAATATTATCAATTGATGATCTCGAAAGTTTAACAAGTACATTAAAATTAAATAATAAATATGATAAATTTCTTGAGCAAAAGAAATTAAATGAATCCGAATATGTTGTACGTGCAAATAATCATCATAATTATATATTATCAGCAACTGGTATTAATAAAGCGAATCAATCATCTTTTGCATCATTTCATACATCAGCAAAATCTAGTGATTCGATTTTTACAGAAACGATTATTGATTATGGAATAGCATTTAAAGATAATACATATCGATTTTTTCAAAGTATTTTTTTAATTATTTAGTAAAACTAAAGTTTTTATAATGATTATTTTAGATAATTATCGAGAACCGACTGTTCCTGTTTCAAAACCAACAAAAAAGAAAAGTTTAACTCAATTATCAAAAGAATCGACAAGTAAAGATCTTATTTAAATTTTCAAGATAATGATTATTTCTTATTTAGATTGTGAACCTATGAATAATGCTTCAAATAAATCACCACGATGTATTAATATTCCATCGATATCACCAAGACTTGATCAAAATAATAGCTCAAAGACATCTTCGAAATCAAAGCCATCGTTAGCGCCAAGTGTTATTGTTCTTGACTAATAATCATATATTACTGCGATATGCTTTTTTTTAACATTATATTCAATTGTGTGATTTTTTCAGTTTTTTTTCTAAAATATGTGATATATTTTGTTTTCTTTCATACATATTTATACTATGAAGTATATCGATGTGAAAATATTTTGCTCAACATAAAAAAAAATAATCATTTCATTCAATTATTAACATTTTGTTTTTATTTTTGATTTCCATTGAAGAGAAAACACCTATTATAGTTTTAATTTATATTCGTAAGAAAAGAAAACATGATTCTCTAGATAATAATTATTAAAAGAAGTTTTCCTTTTCCAGATTTTTTATTAGTCTTTTCTTTTTTATTTTCCTCTAGCTTAATGGCTGAAAGAGGTCTAACAAATGATGTAAAAACAGATGAGAATGTTACTTTTGAAGATTTGGCTATATCAGAACTAACTATTAATTCACTTAAACATTCAGGATTTATTAAACCATCACCAATTCAATTACAAGCATTACCATTAGCACTTGTTGGTGTTGATCTTCTTATTCAAGCGAAATCTGGTACTGGTAAAACATTAGTTTTTAGTATAACAGCTCTTGAATTTGTACAAATTGTTGATGAAGATTCAACTGTAATACCAACAAAAGTAATTATGCTTGCACCAACACGTGAAATAGCTCAACAAATTGTTCAAGTAATTAAAACTATAAAACAACCCGAATGTATTGTACATACGTTTATTGGTGGTACAGCATTAAAAGATGATCAAAATCATTTAAAAAAATGTCATATTGCTGTTGGTACACCAGGAAGAATTGAAGAATTACTTCGATTAAAATATCTTCGAGCTGATACAATTCGATTACTTGTTTTAGATGAAGCCGATGTATTATTATGTAAAGAATTTCAAGTAATTATTTGTTCGTAAACACTATTTTAGAAGAAGAAGAAGAAGAAGAAAAGGATAATACTAAAATTATTAATCATGTTCTACTTCGATCTCATCATAATATGTATTGTATTTACAGTAGAAGAATACAATACTTTTAAAATAATTAAAAACAAAACAGTTGCTAAAAGCACACTGTTTACATACAAGAAATGTCTGAAGTATATGTTTATATTTATGCACATCTACTTAAATATTTGATTATATATACCAAGGGACTTGTTATTTTTTTCAATGGATAACCTAGATTTTATAAATCTGAACAGTATTATAAAAGTCAATTAATCGACTCGGAACAAAGAAAATTATATTAGTTCTAAGTGTCTATTATAATAATTTAAAAGTTTAATTTAACATAGTTTTTACAGAGATGAGCTCAAGGCAGGGTGTCCTTCAAAGTTGATACACTACATTGAATATTTTTATTCATTAATTTTAAGAGCAGCAACGCCAGTGGTGCATAATCTTCTGTAAAAACGAAAAATTTCCCCGAACGCAGAAAAATCAAACAAAACCTTTCCCTCAGTATTCAAGTAAAACAAATTTTTGTTGAAGAAATGAAAAGAGACAAAGGACTACAATATGTTTAAAATATACTCCATCCTAATGAACACATCAGATCATTTACGTATAAAATTTGCTTATTATTTCCCGATAGAAAAAATTTCGAAGTCAAAAATTTTTCTCGAACGCGCGTTCGCGCAGAAGGCCATATTCTGCACCTTCTGCATAACATCACCTCGCAAGTTTTATTATTCACCTTGAGAGTTAAAAGGAGATGTATTTCCCATAAGTATAAAATTCATCTGTTGAATTTTTTGCTTTATAAATGAATAAACTAATATATTTTATCTTTCTTTTAGGATCAAATCAATTCTATATTTTCATATATGCCATTGAATAAACAAGTTTTATTAGCATCAGCAACATATCCCGAACATATTGTTCGTTTTTCTGAACGATATATGCGTGATATGACATGTATACGTATAATTGATTCTGACTCACCAAGTTTAATTGGTATTCAACAATATTCTATTTTAATTCCATATCATCCAATCGAATCATATTTATTTGAACAAAAAGTTCTTTTATTATTACGTTTATTACCACAATTAAAATTTCGTCAATGTGTTATTTTTTCTAATCTTCGTATGCGTTCATCAGCTGTTTGTGAACGTTTAAAATCTTTAGGTTATGAAACAACATATACATCAAGTTCATTAACACAAAATCGTCGAACAAAAGCTATGCGTGATATGTATAAACATAAATGTCAAATCTTAGTTACAACTGATTTAACATCACGTGGTATTGATTTAGATAATGTTGATTTTGTTATATCAATGGATTTACCTAATGATCATGAAACGTATTTACATCGTATTGGTCGTGCTGGTCGTTTTGGTGCTTATGGTTGTTCATTAACAATTCTATCACATGGTGATGAACAAAAACAATTAGAAAATATTCAAAATGAATATAAATTAAATTTAATCGAAATTGATGAACAACAAAAATTTCAATTATTAAGTAATGCACTTGAACAAGTAACTATGAATATTCAAAATACATAGGATAATATCATTTTTATTGTTTTTCAAAAATAACATCTGTGATAGATAAATTTGTATGACAAGTAATCTTCGATATCTATATATATATTCTAGATGAAAATTTTTCTCTTGCGTTCTTTAAATAAAACGACATGGTGTTATGCTTATATCGGACTACTTTATGCACTTTATTTTATCTATTTCATTGTCGTACCAGCGTATCGTGAACGAAATCAATTATCGAATTCTACATATGTGATATTTAATATTATTTTTTTATATTTTTTTTGTCAAGGTTATTTTAATTTAATGCGAACAAGATTTTCTTCTTTATCATTCCATAATGAGAAAAAAATTACTAATAAATATTGTCATGCTTGTTTAAATTATGTAGAAGAACGATCACATCATTGTTACATATGTCAACAATGTATACCAATACAAGATCATCATTGTTTTTTTCTTGGTACTTGTATTGGTAGACATAATCAAAAATATTTTCTTTTAATGCTTTTTCATCTTTTATGTGCACATTTTATTGGTTATGCATTTGTTTGTAATTTTTTATGGAATGAAATGGGAGGATATCATTTTGTAACGATTTTTAAAATTTTATTTTTTAATATTGGTTATGTTCTTGGATTTGTTGAAACAAAATGGCAAGCATTCATTGGTGTTCATCATTATCTTGTTTATTTTGATATTGTATTTATAAGTAGATTATTTTATCAAATGATCAAACGATCATTGAATGGACAAACACAGTATGAAGAAAAAAAACAGATATTTAGACAGAAACAAACTTTTTCTCAGATATTTGGCGATAATAAATGGAATTTGATATTTCCATTCATCCGTCCAGAATGAATTATAATAATTTTTTTTTGTTTTGTTTTAGTATATAAAAAAGTAAAATGGCAACGAATGGGCATACACCATTGACGAAACAAGATTCGAAATCAACAGCTGTTGTTGAAGTTAATACACTTAGTGAAGATAATCAACTTAATCCTGCTGATCATGATGGTAGAAGAATAAAAATATTCCTCCAGATTAATATATATATAATTTTCATATCTATTTAGGTGTAACATCCGATTATTCGATTCATGTTGATAGTAAAAATACAACATATACAAATGAATTTATTGAAAGTAAATATATATATGATATGAATCATTGTGAAGTTGATCAAAGTACAAAACGTGTGGAAATTATTCCAAGAAAATATCAATATATATTTCGTACAAAACGTCAAGTACAACGTACAGGTGTAATGCTTGTTGGTTGGGGTGGAAATAATGGTTCAACATTTACGGGTGCAACTATTGCTAATCGAGATAATATAACATGGATGCGTAAAGGTAAGATATTCCAAAAACAAATCTACTATAAATCGTCCAAAGGAGGTGGTGGAAAAATCATTAATTTCAATGCACGCTAGAAATGTCATAATACGAGAGTCCTTGTCGTCTAGATCACGAATCTGATATCCCGCTTGTCTGGATCTGATCCCTTTTGTATCGGTTTTTGCCGTAGAGGGGTACCTGGGTCTCTGTAGAGTAGTTTCATGAGGTTTCAAATACAAATACACAAATTATTCAGAAAATTTTCTTTCCCCTCAAACTTCGTAGAGCTTTTTCTGCTGATCATTTCCGTATAAGGAAGTTTTGGATTCTATCGAGAAATGTCGAAGCTATCGTCAAAATAAAAACATAGTAAAATAGCTTAAAATCCCATTTTCCGTATAAAATATGGGAAAAAGTCGAGTCTCTAATCTCGTGCCGACTGTATTGCAAAGAAATATGATATAGTCAGTTTTGTAGAGAAAAGTGTGCTCTATAAAACCTACTATGTTTTATATTTTGACGATAGCGTCGTCATTTTTCGATAGAATCCGAAACTTCCTTATACGAAAATGATCAGCAAAAAAAGCTTTACAAGGTTTGAGGGGAAAGAAAATTTTCTGAATAATTTATGTATGTTATGTTTTTGACAGCCTATGGAACTACCCAGTATCAGGCTCAGGTACTCTCTTCATGAGAATCGCTCAAAAAAAAGGATCAGATCCAGACAAACGGATATCAGATTCGTGATCTAGGTGACAAAGACTTTCGTATTATGACATTTCTAGCGTGCATTAAAATTAATGATTTTCGACCACCCCCATTGTAGCTTGCAACTGTATGCTCTTTTTTTCTTAAATATTGGGTTAAATGATTATCTGAATTTGTAGAGGGTGAACAATTTCCAAATTATTATGGTTCATTAACTCAGTCGACAACCATTCGTATTGGAAGTAATAATGAAGGTAAAGAAGTTCATATTCCATTTAATACAATTTTACCAATGTTACATCCAAATGATATTATTATTGGTGGATGGGATATAAATGATGCGAATTTATATGAATCAATGAAACGTGCTTGTGTATTTGATTATTCATTACAAGAAAAATTAAAAACAAAAATGACTGAATTCAAACCATTGCCATCAATTTATTATCCAGATTTTATTGCAGCAAATCAAGAAGATCGTGCTAATAATTTAATTCCAAAAGGAACAAAACAACAAGATTTGGAACATATACGTAATGATATACGAAATTTTAAAAAAGCTCATAATTTAGAAAAAGTTATTGTTTTATGGACAGCAAATACTGAGCGTTATACTGATGTTCGTAAAGGTTTAAATCTAACAGGTGATGAAATTCTTCAATCAATTGCAGCCAATGATGATGAAATAAGTCCATCAAATATATTTGCTTGTGCTGCTATTTTAGAAGATTGTCCATATATAAATGGTAGTCCACAAAATACATTAGTGCCAGGTTTAATTGAACTTGCTGAAAAACATCAAGTTTTTATTGGTGGTGATGATTTTAAAAGTGGACAAACAAAACTTAAATCAGTTCTTGCTGATTTTCTTGTTTCAGCTGGTTTAAAACTTCAATCCATTGTTTCATATAATCATTTGGGTAATAATGATGGAAAAAATTTAAGTGCACCACAACAATTTCGTTCAAAAGAAATTAGTAAATCAAATGTTGTTGATGATATGGTTGGTGCCAATCATTTATTATATAATAAAAAAAGAAATGAACATCCTGATCATGTTGTTGTCATTAAATATGTTCCATTTGTTAAAGGTATAGGATCATATTAATAAATAGAAAGAAAAAGAACTATTTTTACATTTAGATTCTAAACGAGCTATGGATGAATATATATCATCAATATTTATGAATGGTCTTAGTACAATAGCTATTCATAATACATGTGAAGATTCACTTTTAGCTTCACCATTAATTATTGATCTTGTTATATTAACAGAATTAATGACACGTATTACATATAAAACAAATGATAAAGAAGAATATCAATCATTCGAACCCGTTTTAGCAATATTATCTTATCTTCTTAAAGCTCCTTTGGTTCCACCAGGTACACCAGTTATAAATGCACTTTTTAAACAACATCGTTGTATAACAAATATTTTATCAGCATGTGCAGGTATTGCTATGGATACAGATATGTTATTAGAACATAAAACAAATTTACCAAAGCCAATGAAAATTCAAATTTAAATGTTTTTTTTTCTGTGCAATTATCTAATCAAAATATTTATCAATTATCTAGTCAAACAGTCATTCTAATTTTACTCATTATTATTGTTTTATTGTTGTGAGTTTGTGGTGTATTTGACAAAAAAAATAATAATTTGCTTTTTTGGCAAAGATCAAAATTTTTGTTTGTTTTATTTTGCAAGACTTCAAACTTATTTATAATTGAATTAGTTTTAGATTTTTCTATAAGAATGTCAACATTTCCTCCTTCACCAGCTCGTCAAACAGCACATGCAGCATTATATAAAATGCCTTCACCAACTGTTCGTTGTGATGAAACATGGAAAGATCGTTATCGACTTCATTGTAAACAACAATTTAAACGATCACGTGATAAAGTTGTTAATAAAATGCGACAACTTTCTGTAAATATGAATTTATTACTTTTTCTCAAAAATATTTATTTTCATTTTTAGTTTGACGATAATCAACCAACATTATCAGCTCGTGATATTGTTGAATCAGAATGGATAAAAATGTTTGGTTCATTACCATCTACAACAACCATGGATATGGATGGTGACGATGCTGAATTCGAAGCTAATTTGGCAATTATGAACGAAATACGTCGTGAACTTGAATTAGAACAATTACAATCAATACCTGATGAACAACCAGAATACATACCATCAATTGATGAATTTAATCAAACTCAATGTCCAGTTTGTTCCTGTGATTCACTTTTTCAATTTTCATCTCAACATCCTATTACTTGTCGACAATGTTCATTTCAACATCAGATTAAAATGGGTTCATTAGATGAAATTCATAATTATCATCGACAAACAATGCCTCATTGTAAAGAAACAAAATTACATTCAACCTTATGGCATAATGATGATGGAACAACACCATCTTTACTTTTGGTTTGTACAAAATGTGACTTTAATTTTTGTCTTTAAAAAAAATTTCTCTCTCTCTCTCTTGTGAAATCTCATCTTCAATGTATTCTATTTATTTTATGAACATAACTCATGATTAGTCTCAGGAAATAAAATTTTGATAATGTTTATTTTTTTTCTCTTTTTTCATATTGTTTGTTTAACAAACAAAAAATCATGTAAATTGAATAAACACACAAGCACAAATGAAATATTAGAAAACAAAAAGCTAATTAATATGAAAACAGACAATATATCGGTTATTTTTATAGATTAAGTATTCGAGTAACACATGTATCAATACATTTTTGTTTTTGAAAAAATTGATTTTCATTACCTTTACAACCTGTATAATCAAATTGTGAACATTGATTCTTTTTATGATCATAATACCACATAGGAAGACGACCTAAACATTCGCCTGGATTTGGTGCGGGTCCACAAGCTAAAAATGAATGAGATGAAGAATTAAATTAAAAGAAAAACAATAATAACATACTGATACATTCTAAATGACATTCATTTAATGTTACAAAATTATTCTCATTTCCACCCATACCACGATAGACCAATAAATGACATTCATCTTGATCAGGATTATAATAATATCGATCATAATATCGATTATTAAGATCATGATAACCTTCATATCGTGGTTGATAACAACGTTTTGGACGATCTAATTAATTAATTAGAATCAATATATTTTTTTTGCTATCGAAAATTAAACTTACCATGTTCAGTACCATTTTCTGGTTCACATATAGGACGTCCTTCTGTTGTTACAATACACGTATCATTACCGAAACATTGATAATTCTATTTAAATGAAATAGATTATTTGATTTTGTCTATCTTTTCAAACTTACTTTACATGGTGGATCACATTCACATGTATCGTTAAGAAGTTCAAAACCATATGGACATTGTTTTAAACATTGACATGCAAGATCACATACAGGTTCTAATGCTATATCTGATTGAAAATTAATCGTTTCATTTGCATATTCATTTTCATCAACAATAGTTGTCAATATTTCATTTTGTATTGAATTGAAAATAGTCGTAGTATTTATATTATCATCAATAATTGTTGTATCGGAATCATTTGATGTTTGATTATCATATGCTGTTGTACGAGGAGTAGCAGTATGATCAAGAAGAATAATAGATGTATCTTGTTCGGATAGAGATAGTGTAGAATTTAACGTTGTTATTAATTCTTCGATAGTCTGATTGAAAATATTTGTATTTGTTGATGTTTCTGTTTCATTATCTTTAATCATATAAATATAAATATATAGAACATTTAGATTTTATCGAATAAAACTTACTGATAGTCGCAATAGTTGTCAGATTATCGATTGTATTAGTAGTAACAAACTCGTTTGTTTCATTCGATGTTATTTGATTAATATCAGTAATATTTACTAGTGGTACGTCTGATACTGTTGTTGTTGTTAGGAATATGGTATTAATCATAGTTACACTATTATTTTCGAGGTCAGTTTCATACTTTTCTGAAATATTTTGATTAATTGAAGTTGTTGATAGATCATCTGTTTCATTCATTTCAAGTATATCTTGTCGTAATAATGGATATTTTATATCTATTATAGTAGAATTCTCTTCAACATTTAACTGTTCTATGCCGATCGTTGAATTAAATAAAAATATATCATCTAACTTGTCTATTAATACTGTTGCATTATTATCAATTGTAGTTGCACTAGTTAATTGTTCTATAATAGTTTCATCAATTAGAATGTCATCCTTCGTCCAGCGTCTTCTTCGTTCATTAGATGACAATAGGGGTCGTCGTCGTGATAGAACAGGTTCTGATGTTGTTACTTCATTTTTAATAATCAATGGTGAATATCTTCGATCAGGAGACAATTTCGATGATGAAAGTAAAAAAGAACGAAGACGATTTGCAGTATTTATTTCCTAATAGAAAAATAAATTGTTTGCAACTTAAAACTAAATAATAATAATTACATACGTGTGTGATTAATAATAGAACTAATAGTGTTAATAAACAAGAATAACATAGAGCCATCGTTTTTTTTGTTTTTCTATTATATTGATGTTCGAATGAACTCAAAGTTATTTACTATATATGATGATTAGTTATAGATATCTTAGAGAATATTTTTCTTTTTCTATTCTATTCTAATAACGTAATACGCATCATCATCATCTTCTTCTTATTCTGATGGACAGTTAGTCCTGTTATGTTGCTCTTTCTTCACTGTTCGATGTAATTTGTTGATAATCGGACAATGATCAAGCAGAGATCTTTCTTCTCAGTTTACATTATCATTACAGTAACGCTTTTCTTTTTTGCATGCAAGCACCACTGAACAATGTTTTTTTATTTTCTTTTTCCTACAGGCATCAATATATACATATAGATAGATATGTATATATAAACATATAAAGTAAACTGACCCTTACATAAAAGTACAAACACGTTTCATAATCATTTTTAGTAAAAACATCAAAATGAATAGTTTATATATATATTCTTTCTTAACTTTGTCTTATTAGTATAAACATATAACAACACTTTGTATATACAATTGACTAATTGTGCGTATCATCGTTGTTTAACAATGATTGATGGTTAACATATTGATTTTATAAAACTAAAATAAAAATAAAAATCATATGTCAAGGTCATTCAATAATTGCACTTTGTTGTTTTATTATGATGAACAAACAACTAAAGATAGATTATATCATAACTGTCCTTTCTTTTGTTGTGTAATACATAACATTCTGCATGAACAACAATAAAAAAATAGGGAGGAGAAAAGAAAAAAAAGAACTGTCGATCATTGCTATCCATATGTTTTATATGATAACCATAAATTTTCTTTCAGGATATGATTAGATTTATCAGAAATAAGAAAATATGTATGTTTATCAGAATTCTTTTGTGATGCAAGATGAAATTAAAAATAAATACAAATGATGATATGATATTTAGACAGATCATTCAAGCATTCAATGCTATCAAAGAACAAGTTTCTATTCTCATGTATTATTAAAACTAGATGGCATTCGAGTTTCACTCAATTAATTATAATCGAAATTCAACACTATAAGGAACGTAATTGTCTCTGCCAACATGTTGCTAATTCATGAGTAACTAGTTTAGGATTGAATTCTCCATTATGATGAAATGTAAATGATAAAAAGAAAATCCTATGATTGCAATAATATAGTTTTATTTTACATAAATTCACTTTCAACACATATTTATAAATATATTCGAGTAAAATGTTCAAAACTCAACGTGTTTCATCATAAATTTTCAAACTTTTGAATAATTCAAAATGATGTGGTAGAGATAGAAATTACGTTAAATCTTGTTCTTTTTTAATTCAGACTTTGCTTAGAGAAAAAAATCCTAAAATGACTGGTTTTTATTTTCAATATCTCATATCTCAGTATTTCCATTTGGATTTTAATAATGAAATGTTAACTTTGCATGTGCTTATTTGTTCTCTTTTGTTGAAAGATTCATGATAAGAATTTTACAGAGTATTTTCCTGTAACAGTGAGTACTTCTGCTAGCTTTAATTATAATTCGGATATTAAATAAACTGTTAATTTATCGAACAATAAGTTTAATATTCATTATTATTTACTTTTTTGCTGATAATATGTGTACGAGATTGAATAGGTTTTATTGATCGATCACAAAAAAATAAGATCATTTTATTTATATTCTTGTGTAATTTCAATATACGATTCCAACAAAAAAGAAAATGATGAGAGACTTTTAGTGTGTTTTATTTAAAAAAAAGATGTGTTTTTTTCTGTTAGCGACGATATTATTTCTTATCTGTGAAGAAAGTTGGAAAAAATGAATTCTTTTTCTTTCGTTCTTTATCTTCACCTGGCTCTATAACGTTTATGAAATGATACAGAGGGCAAAGTTCTATTATGCTTAATCTAAATAAACATATAAAGATAGATAAAGAAGTCATACGAATTTTTAGATAAAGAGATTCCATTTTCATATAAATAACCGAGCTTATTCATCTCTTTCACTTTTATCTATTCAATCAAAAATTGACATAATACACGAAATGGACACAATAACTCATAGTATCGAACAACGAAGACGTATCGTACAAGATCGTTTACTCATTTGGTTAGACGAGTCTATGAACGAAACAAACAAAGATTACAAACATATTTTGACACAAATACAAACCGGTGCCGACAATATCAGCGTCTTTATACAGAGAGATGAATGCGTCGACTTTCTTTCCGACAACGAAGACTCTAAGTCTTTTCTCGTTATCGAAAATACTGTGGCTCAACAAATTATACCCCTCATCAATGATATTCCTCAGATAGAAGGTGTTTATATTTTCAATAGAGTTGAACTTTTACATAAAGAGTGGACCAATAACTGGCAAAAAATCAAAAGCGTTCATCCCAACATCGATGACGTATGCAAAGCATTACAACTGGATGTCAAGCGATACAACCAAGACTCAATTGCTATGAGTTTTGTCACCGTAAATGGAATAACTTCAACTGATGATTTAGATCAGTTGGAGCCAACATTTATGTACACTCAAATATTCAAAGAAATTCTTCTTAATCTGAAACATAATAGCCAGAGCATTAAGGACTTTATTACTTACTGTCGACAGAATAATTTCGGGTCGCCAATCAATATTGATCGATTTGAAAAAACCTATGATGCTCAATCAGCTATTTGGTGGTATACTTATCCATAATTTCTCTATTCTATGCTCAATTATGCTCTTCGCGTTATGGAAGGTGATACTATTATTAATATGGGTTTTTTTATTCATGATCTTCATCTACAAATACAACAGCTACACCAACAGCAGGTTAATAGCTATCGTGGCAAAGCATTCACAGTCTATCGTGGACAAGGTCTCTCCAAAGCACGTTTTGAAAAACTTCGAAAAACAAAAGGTGGTTTAATATCCTTCAATAATTTTTTATCCAGCAGTACCAAGCAAGACATAGCTCTCGGACTTGCTTATAGTGCGTCTGAGAATGTGGACATGGTTGGCATTTTATTTATAATGTCCATTGATCCTTGTATTAAATCAACACCATTTGCCTCCACCAAGGAGAAGAGTTATTTTAACGAAGAAGATGAAATTCTCTTCTCCATGCACACCGTGTTTCGAGTCGGTGCAATTAAAGTAATGTACAGTAACAATCAACTTTATCAAGTTAAATTACAACTAACGTCTGATGATGATCAACAACTACGATTGCTTACTGATCGAATACGAGTAGAAGTTTGTGGTAGTACTGGATGGAACAGATTGGCTAATTTATTGCTTAAAATTGGTCAATTTAATAAAGCTGAAGAACTTTATAACGTATTACTCAAGCAGACATCTGATAAAGATGAAAAAGCCCTTTATTATAATCAGTTGGGATGTGTCAAAGACGATCAGGGAGATTATGAAAAGGCAATTTGGTATTACGAACAAGGACTTGAAATTGACCAAGAAACTCTTCCTCCAAATCATTCTGATTTGGCTACTTCATACAGCAACATCGGTTTGACGTATAATAAAATGGGAGAGTGCTCCAAAGCACTTTTATTTTACGAGAAAGGACTTAAAATCTTTCTAAAGTCTCTTCCTTCAGATCATCCAGATTTGGCTACTTCATACAACAACATTGGGATTGTGTATGACGAGATGGGAGAGTACTCGAAAGCACTTTTATTTTATGAAAAAGCACTTGAAATCTATAGAAAAACTCTTCCTTCAAATCATCCTTCATTGGCTACTTCGTACGACAATATCGGTGGTGTGTATGACGTGATGGAAGAGTACTCGAAAGCACTTTCATTTTACGAAGAAGCACTTGAAATTAATTAAAAAACTCTTCCTTCAAATCATCCTCATTTGGCTACTTCATACAGCAACATCGGTACTGTGTATTACAAGATGGCAGAGTACTCGAAAGCACTTTCATTTTACGAAAAAACACTTGAAATTCAACAAAAATCTCTGCCTTCAAATCATCTTTCATTGGCTACCTCATACAACAACATCGGTAGTGTGCATGACAAGATGGGAGAGTACTCAAAAGCACTTTCATTTTACGAAAAAGCAGTTGAAATCTATCAAAGAACTCTCCCTTCAAATCAACCTCTTTTGGCTATTTCACACAACAACATCGGTACTATGTATGACAATATGGAAGCGTATTCGGAAGCACTTTCATCTCATAAAAAAGCACTTGAAATCTATCAAAAAAACTCTTCCTTCAAATCATCCTGATTTGGCTATTTCATACTACAATATCGCTAAAGTGTATTACAATACGGATGACTATTCGGAAGCACTGTTATATTTTGAACGGGCTCTGGACATATTACAAAGTGCATTACCACCAACTCATCCTGATATCAAAAATGTGAAAAGGAGTATTGAAGTTGTAAAAAAGAAATTATAAAGAAGAATCGATAAATAAAACAAGATTTTGGTCACCTATTTTTGAATTTATTCTATTTCTCAGTGACACGCACATGTATAGAGAACAAGTCTGTAAATAATAAAAACGTAATGGACAAAACCGATTGTTAAGGTAATAAATATAGATACGGATATATATAAATGACCTTCTCAGATGTATTTACGCTTCTAAATCTTTACAAGAGTATTCCCTGTAATAAACAAAAAAGAAACAAATATATATTATCTTAAATAAGAATCCTGGAATGAAACAATCTAAAAAAGAACAACTTGTGCGGAATTGAATTATTTTGTTATATTGTTGAACGAGGCATAGTTTGATGAAGAAAAAGTTAAAAAACCGCGTTTAAATGTGTTTGATTGTCATGTTATAAATATTTCTTTTGATGAAGGTAAGTTTTATTCTTTATTTTTAGACTAATTTTGAACTTTTTGCATAATTGGTGTTTTTTTAGACTATGCACTCAACTTTCATTATCACTTCCAAATCAAATCAATATTATATTTAAACAAATTTATTTAAACAATATTAGTTTTAAATCATGCATCATATTAGATTCATTCATTTTTTGTTCATCAGAAGTTACTCAAGTAAATTTTCCTTGACTTGAATTATGGTTTATATTTAAAAATTCGAGGCGGTTAATGTCAAAATAGTATTTTATTTCTAGCACACATGAGAACAATCTATATCTTCGACAAAAAATAATTTTCACAATCGAATATTTCATAGACTAGTTTTGAATATACAAATATTCTTCAATTTGAAATGCTTTGAGGGTAGGTGTAAATGTGGATTCATCATTTATTTACCCACACCCATAGATCGAGGAAACTCGAAACTTCATGAACGAACATTTTTGTTTCATCAAGTAAGACTTCTTTGAATCGAGGGCTCATCAAAGTTTGTGTCGCGTTGCTTGTATCATTTAAACCATCTAAAGCAATTCTCACACAACAGAAATATCAACCATTTGTCACGGAACGACCCATATTTCTGCTCGATCACTCTGTTCTAGAAACGGTTAAAATAAAACAATCATTAATCTAATAAAATCATTCGTTTTAGTCGTGCGTAACGTGCAGCGCCATTTCCTTTGTATATATTCTGAGCTAGAAAATTTTGTATCAAAATTTTAATTATTATATCTTCAGCAGTTATCTTCGAGAACACAAAGAATATGTATAGTTTTGCTGATAAAAGAATTTTTTTCTCTTCGTATCAATAGTTACACTTATTTTTCAATCTTTTTTTATTTCTAATTGGGACATTATAAATAGCATTTTACCGCATAGACAGTGTTAATCACCAACATAATATATTAATAGACAGTATAATTCATCATTTTCTCTGCGTTATAATCAGTTAATGACATTTCTTCGTTTACTTTTGTTGTAATTGGTCTGTGAGAACATTATTTCAATGTGCGACAAACAACGACATAGAATATAATAAAATGTTTAATTAAAATCTCAGTATAAAATATACTTCAGAAAAGAATTTCTATGTTAGTTGTTTTTAACATAATATCTCTGCTATTGATTTGTTTTTTTTTTTAGATAAATCAGTTAAAATGTCTTCGGAAATAGATTACATTTTATCATTAATATCAATACAAACAAATTTATATAAATACGGTGGACCAATTTTGATCATTCTGGGTACTGTAAGTTGTGTACTTAGTTTGATTGTTTTTACAAAAAAAAATCTACGCAAAAGTCCATGTGCAATATATTTGGTGGCATATAATATTGGTAATTTTCTGCAAATTTATACAACTATGTTAGTAGCGATATTATCACTTGGTTATAATATCGATCCTTCTGTATATAGTCTGAGTTTCTGTCATTTTCATTATTACATACAGTTTTTGTCTAATGCTTTGAGTCCATCTTATTTAATATTGGCATCAATTGACCGAATATTAATCACTTCACCAAATGCTCGAACAAGACAACGAAGTACTTTACATCTAACTTATATATGCATCATAGGTGTAACATTATTTTGGTCATTAGCCCATATTCATACATTATTTCTCACTTATATTGGCGAACCGATACCAAATCTTATTATGTGCACTTGCCAGCCTGGGTTCTATATAGGATTCGTAAATTATTATATAATTTTAGTCCAAAATATTCTTATTCCTTTATTGATGATTATTTTGGGAATATGGGCTGTGAAAAATCTTCGAAAAAGACG